CACTAAAAATCACTTCTTAAAAACCTGTCAACAAAAATTATTAATGAAAGGGGTGATTGGGGAGGAATCAATGGAATTTCCAATGATCAATCATAGAAAAAAGAGGGAGGGACGGGAAAGCTCTTGAATATTCATGAAGGAAAAGATACGTAAAAGAATGGAAAGTTTTTGGAAACAAGAAAAGATTGATAAAGTGATTTATAATAAATTGAAAGTGGTGACAGGTAGTAGAAATTTGTGGATAGTAGTGTGAAAAAGTGAGATCAAGGATCGATTTGGAGACTAATCCAAAAGAGAGAGAGTAGGTGTGGAAAAAAGGAGGAGATAAGGGAATAAAGAAAAATGGGAAAGTGAAATGCAAGTTGCAAACTGAATGGTCGTATTCTAAGTTTAAAAGTTGTGCAGTTGGGCAGTTAACCGATTCGAAAGATATTTTCAGGCTTTCATTTCGATTCTTGAGTTAATTTCCCTTAATTCCAAGTAATAAATAGCTATAGGATGATTTAAAACTCAACTTCTGTAAGTATTTTCTAAGCTTATCTAGATCTAGATGATCAAGTAGATCAAGTAGATCAATCTAGATCAAGTAGATCAAGTAGTGTTAGAGTAGTGTAGTGTTCAAGTAGTGCTATTCATTGTCAGCTTCAAATAGTGCTATTCATTATCAACTTCAACTAGTGCTATTCATTATCAACTTCAAGTAGTGCTATTCATTATCAGCTTTAGGCAGTGCTATTCATTGTCCGCTTTAAGTACGCTATCCATTATCAGCTTCAACTAGTGCTATTCAAGCTATTCCTTCTCAGTCAGTTAAAAACATTATCATTGGATTGAAAAAGAAAAAGAAACTGGAAAAGCCAAGAAAGATAAAAAAGTGAAGAAGGGGAAACAAAGAAGGGGAAAGTGAGAGAATTCGAAGAATTTATCGATTCGATTTCCATCTAAAGAACCAAAAGAATAGAAGAAGGAAAGTCATGAAAGGAATGGAAAGAGTTGTGACTGTGGGTGGTACAGGCTGGGATCAATCGATCACTCGTCCCTCCCCTTTCTCAGACGGGCAAACACCTCTTACCTGTCTCTCTCTGTCGTCTCTCCTCGAGTGACTGTATCTCGCTGTGCCCTGTGGTCATGAAATGGTTCTCTTTCCGCCCAGCTTCCCCATTTGTTTATTAATGCTTACTAAGCAAGCTTATTTGACACCTTATCACCTAGTTGATGGTGTTAAAATGTTAGAAAATAGATCGAATATAGATAGATAGAACAAACAAGTATTTAAATTGAAAATAGATTAGGCATTGGATGATACTATAGAAAAATCAATAGTACTCCAAACTCTACCGTACTTTACTGTACAATAATCTGACTTTTTAGAAGCTAATCTACAGTACTTTGGCTTTGCAGTAAGCTATAAGAATTGGATATTAATTATAAGTTCAAATTTTGTCTCTAAAAAAACAACTCTGATAACGAAAAGACAGCTGTCAGCTTGTATTCACTAATATTTTCTGAACTCTAAAAACTTACACAAGAAAACTACACAAAGTTAAAAAGAACAAGATTGAGTAGCTCATCAAAATGAAATTGAGAGCTCTGAGAGGAAAAAGCTCTGCGTTTTTTTTCTCTTTCACAATAGGAAATTGAATGGGTTGAATGGAGACTTCGATTGAAGGGAAAAAGAAGTTTCTTTTCTTTGAGCGAAGTCTTTCCCACTAGAAAATTAACCAAAGCATTAACCAAAGAACAATTTGAACAATTTGACGACGACTTTAAACGACTTTAAACGAATTTTAGAGACTTTAAACGACTTTAAAGACTTTAAACGACTTTAAAGACTTTAAACGACTTTAAACGACTTTAAAGTACTGTCTTATGATTGCAAAAGCAAGTATTGAGTACACACAGAAGCGAGTTTCCATTTCTCTGTTCAAAATACAACTCCAAAACAGGCCACACAATTGAGTACTTAATATTTTGAAACCTGTGACAAACAAAGGGTCATAATAGACAAAGGTTAAACACACTTTTGCACTGCGGCCGTCCATTACCCTTACCCAATTTGTGAGAACCCCGGGGGAGATTTTCTTGCCGGTGATTGAACCCTCGCCTTCCGCTTAGCCCGGTCGGCCATTGGCGAGTGAGTTTTGACTATTGTAAGTTGGAGTGCTGTAGTTCTACTTGTTGTACAGCATAAATTAAGACAGAAAAAAAATTAAGCTACGTGATTTCTTATAAAAAGAAGAGTGTGATTGTTTTAGGATAAAGCTAAAAGCAAAAGGAAAGGGGCGAGTCTGTAAGGACCCTCTAGAGTGGTCAAAGAAGTGAGTGGTCAAAGAAAAGATGAAAAAAAAGGGAACGGGACTCTCATTGAAGGCCCCTGAGGGTAAGGAAAAGAAAGAATTCTTGACATTTCGAGCAAACAGTTCTTTTCTGTTCTTCTCTACCCTCAAAGCATTCTGATGGACGTGCGGAAAACAAGACTAAAAGCTTTTTTGTTGTCATAGTTAGTTAACAAAGTTTTTTGTTAGCAAAGAGTTTGTGAAAAACAGGAAACTTTTCGAAATCATCGAATCATTGTACTTTGATTTCAGCATTACTCTAGCTTGCTCTTATGAAAGAAGAGTACGATAGTTTTCCAAATTGTCCACCCTTTAGAAAAGTATTTACTGAGGAAGAGACTTACTGAGGAAGGGATTTACTGAGGAAGAGACTTACTGAGGAAGAGATTGACTGAGGAAGAGATTTACTGAGGAAGAGACTTACTGATGAAGAGACTTACTGAGGAAGAGACTACTGAGGAAGAGACTTACTCAGGAAGAGACTTACTGAGGAAGAGACTAGGAAAAGGCACGAAATCAGGGTGAGGTTTTGTTTGTACACTTAGAATAGAACTTTATGGTTCTATTCTAAGTTCTAGTTCTATTCCACTGAACAACTTTATAGAATCGAGTATGAGGAATCCGAATCTGAAATCAAAATCTGCCAATCGAGTTTCCAGGCGTGTAAAACTTCAATCGAAAATTCGAAATCAAAACGAATGCAAAAGGATCGGTGGATGGTTTAAAACATTTCTTCCAAGGGTTAAGAGGAGCGTTGGTGGCTTAGGGGGCAACACGTTTGGCTTTCGCGCACTGGACCGAGGTTCGCTTCCTGATGCAGCTTTTTAATTTTTCTTTTTCTTTTAGAGTAACTTTTTGCAGTCTAGCTCTAGCATTTTGCAGTTAATGCGGCGACGGGACCCCGCCCAGGGAAGCAAACGTTATCCACGTTTGGCTTTTTCTTTTAATTCTTGTAAGCTTCATCTTATGTCTTTTACAGTAGGGTCCAAAAGTTTGGAACAATCACCTTCCGGCAACTTTAACTCGATGTAACTTGCGTTAATTACATTCAATTTTGTTACTTTAAAAACTATTTTTGTTGCATTTTTTGTGAACTTTCTGAATGTCTATTTGATTTTATTTGATATTTGATCTTTTTTTTTGCCTTGCTCTATTTCTTGGAACGCCCATTTTTTATGGGGTCCAAAAGTTTGGAACAATTTCAAAAATATCAATACATTTTTAATTTTAAGATGCCAAATCGTTCGAATTTGACGGAGTATGATAAAGAACTTATTGTGGCTGAAGTAAATCGAGGAAAGAGCCGTCAAGAAGTCGCCACAACATTCGGTGTCACCCATTCAGCAGTAACCAAGATTTATAACAAATGGAAGGTTTCCGGAAATGTGAAACGAGCAGCAACAAAGGGAAGGCCAGCTAAACTGGATGAGCGTGATGAGAGGACACTTGTGCTTCCATTTAAGAAGAATCCACGCCTCAATTCAGCTGATCTACGTCGAGACGCCGAGTCAAGCTATGGAGTTTCGCTCTCCAAAACGACGGCTAAGCGCATCTTAAAGTCATTTATGATTTAAAAGCAATAAAATATTGCTGTTTAGGAGACAAGGACCAAAGGAAGTCGTCCGTCTCGAAAGCCGTGATTTCCGGCAAGAACGGAAGGCTCGGCTCGAGTTTGCCAAGAAGTACAAAGACTGTCGGCTGATGATTGGAGTGATGTATTGTGGAGTGACGAAAGCAAATATGAGCTCTTTTCCACCAATGGAATTCGATACATTAGACGTCCAATTAATCAAAGAAACAACCAAAGTATCAAATTCCAACAGTCAAACACGGCGGTGGATCAGTTATCGTTTGGGGTTGGTTACCTCCATTATCAACGGAGCTTATTTGAATTTAGGTTGTTTTTCACGATACGGTGCGGTCCAATTGTCCGAATCAATGGTATTATGGATGCAGCTGTTTATGAAAACATCTTGAAGACCCAATGCTTCCACACGGCAGAAACAACTGGCCAACGACTTCATTTTCATGCACGATAATGATCCGAAGCATACGGCCCAGCGTGTTAAGCAATGGCTTCAACAAAAAACGTCGATGTGCTTCAATGGCCGGCTCAAAGCCCGATCTGAACCAATAGAGCATCTTTGGGAGCATTTGGACCGACAAATCCGAACCAGAAACTTCACAAAACATCAGAACTCATGAAAGCGCTTGAGGAGGAATGGACTAAGATCCCAAGGCAAATCATTGACAATTTGATTGATTCGATGCCAAATCGTTGCGCAGCTGTTATTAAAGCAAAGGGATACGCCACAAAATACTGAATTTTGCCGGTTAATCGTTAAATGAATTGTTATTTTTGAAATTGTTCCAAACTTTTGGACCCCTAAAAAATGGGCGTTCCAAGAAATAGAGCAAGGCAAAAAAAAAAGATCAAATATCAAATAAAATCAGATAGACATTCAGAAAGTTCACAAAAAATGCAACAAAAATAGTTTTTAAAGTAACAAAATTGAATGTATTTAACGCAAGTTACATCGAGTTAAAGTTGCCGGAAGGTGATTGTTCCAAACTTTTGGACCCTACTGTAGATCAAATTGTACATTTCTGTTCAATTCTTTTCCAATATTTGATATATTATAATACTTTATCATCATTACATCAAAATATCTGATGAAAATCAATGATTGTTGAGGGGAAAATCTTTGCGATTTGTGTGCTTTGTTGGGGAGAACAAATGACAAGGTTGAGGGATGGAATGGGCACAAATGACATGTAAATCGGATCAAATTTGGTGTCGATTGGGAGCAGAAGAGAGGAGATCTGAAAGGAAATGAAATTGAAATGTTTTCAAGGGAATAGAGAGTTTCAGTACTCTAGTTATATATATATATAGATACTTTATTCAGGACCTGAGATAAAGGCGCTGACTGATCACACAAACCAAAGGGCGAAAAGAAACCGATATAATATCTGTAAATGGGGTAGCCGTCGTCAAGGTCCCTAGGCTTCGAAACTAGTTATGATGAAAACAGCCGTTTACCTGATATTTCTGAATGATATGAGCGATTCTCGATGGATCTGGGTAATCGATGACGCCTTCAAACTGAAAATTGCTTACATAAAGACAAAAAAAGGTGTACAATTTTTACAATAACTGGCGGTAGGCCTTTCGACAAGACAGCAAAGAAGGAGGAGATTCCAAAATGAGTGGAGAAAGAGCCAAGGCAGAGGTGGCCGGATGGCTGAAAACTATACTAATAGAGAATTCATAGGTTAAAATATTTAGCGTACTGTACTTATATTATATTATAGTATGACTCTTTAAGCATTTTACAGCAAATTTAGTCTCCAATTTGCATATCTAACCCTCAAAGTACCTACCATCTTTCCTCTAATAAAAGCCCTCCTCCTCCCCCTCGATCAACTTTAGACGCCTGGTTCTCAGTCCCATTTTGAGAGATTTTTATGTTTAATATACCAAAAGCTAGAATACATTAAGGGCTATCTTTTGGTTTATTAAACATAAAAATATCTCAAAATGGGACTGAGAACAAGGCGTCTAAAGTTGATCGACGGGGAGAAGGCGTCTAAAGTTGCGTTAGAGGAAATACGGTAAGTTTTTCTGTAATCTGTAGTTCGGTACACAACTTTCTGCAACCTGTAGTTCTGAGATCCCGCTTGCCCCTTTGAGATTTCGTTCAATCTCAACAATGTCCACCAAAAGTTGTCCCACAGTGAGCTCTTGAAAGCTTTGAATGTGCTTTGTCCTGAAAAATTTGAGAATTTGAGATTCAGATTTAAAGGACTTTTGAATGAAAAGTCTTTTGATACTAATCTAAACAATAATCATAATCAATTGAAATAATAATCTACAGTAATCGATTGTTTACGATAGCTTTGGCTTTAGAGTTCTTTGCTTAGAGTTAAAATTAAAGTTAGAGCAAAAGAGTTTCCTAAACAATTTTAGCCAATTACTTTAACCATACTTTACTTTAGCCAATTTTAGCCAATTTTACTTCAAGATTTTTATCTCTTTCACCATATAGGCAATTTGACGAGCACTTGATCGGCTGAGAGGTATTTTGTCGGGAAATCGTCGTCGAGTTTCACGAATTCATCGCTCCAATCCGAGTCTCTTCCATCAGTCATTGAAATCTACAAGTAAATGAAATAAGCTACACGATTATCTTGATCTGATCTAGATCTAGATCTGATCTAGACTTGTTCTAGAAACAACCCTAACTGTTCTAGAAACAACCCTAACTGAAACTAAGAGAAATTTATCTAAATTTAGACCTCAATTTTATAGAAAGGCCGCCGAGCGGTGATGTGCTTTTCGGGCGGGGGCATACCCGGATTCGGGCCCACATGTCGGATCACCAAGCATTTACAATCGTTCTAGAATTTGCATAGAATGCTAAAATGCATAAAATGCTTTACATTTAAATCCTCTAGTGCTTTATCGATTTTTCTTTTCACTTCAATCAATTGTTCTCCTTGCCAAAAAGCGTCTACACAAACGATCAGCTTTGGCCGGGATTTCTCGAGGATTTCGGCAATTTTTTCACAACTTTCAGAACCAATCTAAATTTGTGTTGAATCATTGTTTGATTGGAAATGGATTTGTTTTAAATTTCTCTGGAAAACAAACGAACAATGGGGATTGAATGAGCTTGGAGAGCGGCTGTAGCCAGGATCAACACTGGACTCTGCACCATGTTCGACATCACAATTAGCACGGAATCGTCCTGGAATTGATCATATAAGATGAAGCTTAAGCTTAAAAGCTACCGTAATCCTTTGTTACTTTTGTTAAACAACTACAGTAACTATAGTAATCTTTTGCCTGCAGCTTTTACGGTAATTTAGATCGGAATCCAGTCCGACACATACAGTTAAAATGCTTAGGCTTAGGTCTATCGTTACAACTACCGTTCTATTGTTATGATTACCGTTCCACCGTTATGACTACCGTTCTATTGATACAGTTTGGGGTGCGACCCGCTTTAACCTTATCATCGAGGGTGATATTGCTTCAGAATAGCCGTTCAATTGACACAAAGACCGTTAAATGGGTTTCCCCAAAGCGCTTCCAACATAACAAGAACGCGCAGCATCCAACACAAGATTAATACTCGTCAATGGCGACACAAATGTTAGTAAGCTCTCTCTACAATGTTAAACCAGTTATCTAAACAGGATTTAAACCTGAGGGTAGCAGAAAGTAAGTTCAATTTATAATTTTACCGTTCTATTGGTACAAACCAAATGCAACAATACCCATTACAACAACAGACGCACAAAGGAACAACCAAGCCCCCCAGAAGGAAGGCAAGCACCCGAAGACCAAAAAAAACAATTTCGGGAAGGGAGAAAAGAGCGAAAAATGCGACGCGAATAATTGCAAAATAGCAACGCAAATAGGAAGGAAACGGACCGTTCCACCGTTACGACTACCGTTCTACCGTTACAACTACCGTTCTATTGTTACAACTACCGTTCTACCGTTACGACTACCGTAGCTTTTTGCTTACTGTAGTCTTACTATAGTTATTAAAATGTGTTTCTATCAATTGATGTGCTTTCTAAACCGTCACTTTTCAAAAACTATCGTTATCTTAGCTCCAGCTTTATCCAAAAATGAAAACACACTTTTTCTAGCATATTTAAATAGCAATTTTCTTATATCTACCCATTCTTTCTTTCCTTTTTCTACAAAATTCCCATTTTTGTCATTGAATCTGCGAATTTTTCGTGTCTCCATGTAAATATAAAACGGATAGCAACGAGAAATTTTCGGAAAAAGACTTTTTTCCTCAAAATCCTCAAAGAAATTTTCATTTCTGATTTGAATTCGTAATGCTTTGGATAATAATCTTCACGTTTATTTGTAAGTTTAAATTTACAATAGTTCAATAGCAAAATCAGACTATAAAACAAAAACCCACTTTGTTTTTTTGGAGTCACTAACATTTTTAGCCTCAACCCTAAGCCAAGCAACGATCACTTGCTTTCGAATGTACAACCTCTCGCGATGGAGGTGATTTCAATGATGTTTGCTCGGATCAGAATACAACATGTCAAGGATATTATTGCACAAAGGGCCCAGATGCGAAATGTGAGTTGGTGAATGGTTTCTACACAACAAACTATGTAGCTATGAACTTGTTTCGAAGCTTGAAACATTCATGGATTATGGTTTTTGGTGTCTCTTACGGCTGCCACAAGGATAAATTTGAATTAGCATTTGAATTTAAAACCGCAATTCATATTTTAAAAATGATAAAGCCAGAAAAGCGCATTTTTTTAGAGTTCATTCGTTCAATTTCGGGTGGGGTATAAAGTAGAAATTTGATTGAGAGAAATTTGGTTGAAATTTGGTTGGAATTTGATTGGAATTTGATTGGAATTTGGTTGGAATTTGATTGAGAATGAGAACGAACAAGTCCTGACGTCTTACTACAACAATATAGCTACTTGTCTTACTACAACAATATAGCTGCTCGTCTTACTACAAGTCTTACTACAACAATATATCTCGTCGGAAGCTCAAAAAGCCGCATTCAAGCCGTAAGAGAATAAAAATAAAGGAAATAGAAAGCTGCTGAAATGGTAATTTGTTGGAAATGCTAATTTTCTTCTTGTAAATGTCGGCCGTAAGAATCATAAGTACTCCAGTAATACTCCTTTGTGAGTTGTGATTCTGTTGGCAGCTATTTTTAAATTGGTATGTTAAATGCTAAATAACCGCCTAAGAGTCACAAAAATTTACCAGTAATAGATCTCCAGTATACCAATTTACCATGTGTTTTTCAAGAAGAAAACTGGAATTTCTCTGGAAACAGCTTTACACTGAAATTCCAAAAGTCTAAAATTATCTAAGAAATTACAAATTACAAGGAAAATGGTAATTTCTAAAAAGCAAATAACCAAAAGGAGATTAATCAGAGCAGGCTAGAGCTCTGATTCTAGCAGGCTAGAGCTCTGATTCTAGCAGGCTAGAGCTATGATTCTAGCAGGCTAGAGCTCTGATTCTAGCAGGCTAGAGCTCTGATTCTAGCAGGCTAGAGCTATGATTCTAGCAGGCTAGAGCTCTGATTCTAGCAGGCTAGAGCTCTGATTCTAGCAGGCTAGGCCTGATCTAGCGGCTAGGCATGATTCTGCACGCGTCCGGCTAGAGGTCGCCCTTCTCGATTTTAGCCAGATCAGATCAGATCCGATTTTAGATCAGACTAACTTTAGTGCATTCATTTTTGCGGTGATTCCCATTTTGCCATTTGATGTACAAAATAAAGCTGAATAAAGCCAGTGAAACAAATTCGATTTTCAGCCAACGGCATGTACCGCGGCTGCTCAAACACCCCGCCCGTCGACAATTCGGCTGTTTGTAAGGAAGTTTGAACGAGAACGAGTTCAATAGTTGGCTTGATCTTTATAGCTAAAGACCAGTGTCCATAATAGAAAGTATCACTCACTAAATTCCCCCATCAATTCACTCATTCAGCCGATTGCCGAAGTGTTGCCCCGGATTTGGGCAATTGCTATTGCAACAACATCGACTTTTGCAATGAATCAAGAAAAAGGGAAACTTGTCTCCTTTTCGCTTTTTTGTTTCTCTTTTGGGTTTGAGTGAAATAAACTTTATGAATTTGAGAGAAAAAATGCCAAATTTTGTTGAAAAGTAGAATCATTTATCGAAAGCCATCAGCTTCCTAGTTTTCCTATTCTTTCCCGTATCTGTGAAAATATTGTGTTATAAATGTCTTGCGCCAGTGTCTTGGAACACGGAGGTGAAAGGAATATCCAAAAGACATCTATCGGGGCCGTGTGCCAGATGGAGAGCGATTATGTGGCCGCACAAAGAACACCTCGCTAGTCATTTACATAGTGATTTTCTGTTTGTTGTTGACCCAAAAAAAGATATTCAGCTGTAATTTTGTACCCAGGGTTTTCGGGGACGGGGAATCGATTGAAGCTATTCATTTTATTCAGTCTACCAATTGAAACTTGGGTTTGGGATTGGATCTGTGCTTTAAAAGCCCGGCTGCATTGCAATCCGGTCCATGCACTAAATAGTTGTTGCACGCATTCTGTTATCCAACCATACAACACGTAGAAGAAGGGCAAAATCCAAAAGACGTCTATCGGGGGCGTGTGCCAGATGGAGAGCGATTATGTGGCCGCACAAAGAACACCTATAGTTGGATAACAGAATGCGTTTGGGTGATGCAACGAGCTTCGATTGTGCCGCTCAAGCTCTTTCAGCAAACTATGCACAGTGAACTATTTACATTATTTAGATTTTTATAATTTAGAATGCTTCATCGCAGCAGCACTTGTTACTGTAAGAATGCGATTGGATGTCATTTACCACCGGAAATCGATTTGAACTCAAGATTGGACACTTTCAAGTCAATAACAGTAGCTCTTAGTCAATAACAGTAGCTCTTAAAATCCACAAAATTAAAGCTTCAATGTTTACCTTTTCAATTCCAAATTTTGATAGAAGATTCCCAATTTTTCGATACAATACCCCAATTGTTTCCCATTCGACTTCAGCACAATCGTGTATCATCTCATCCCAGTAATTGCCTTCCCTAAAAGGATTTTCTTTTGATAAAACTTTAAATGAAATCTTGCTCCTCGCATACGTGAGCTAACGGTTTGAAATTCTAAAATGTGCCCTTTCAAACAGATTACCGGACATAATTCCCGCATTGCCTCTGTGGAGGACATAATTTCCGGGACGATATTTAACATCAATTAAGCTTCAGCGTCAATTAAGCTATTAAGCTATTAAGCTACTAAGCTATTAAGCAAAAGCTATTCTACTTGAAATCAAAGACGATACGATGGTACTTGCAGTGATTTGACCTGAGGAGCTCAAAAAAGGCTTAAAACGTTCTTTTTGATTTACAACATGTTCTACTAAATGATGGAAATCCTAGCATTAGCCAGTTGTTTTTGTTTTTGGATGACTTTTGTAATTTGATGGGCTGTAAATAGATTTTCAATGTTACTTTATTTCTCCCTTTTTTCGCATTTCTCTGATCTCATTTTGGTGTTTCCTTTTTGATCATTTTGTCAATCAATTCCTTTTTTTGGAATAGCTTGTTGAAATCGTGTATTTTGATGTGTTCTTTCTGAAAGTGCTTGTTTCAATTCATTGTTTTCATTTGATTGTTTTCAATCAATTGTTTTCAATTGATTGTTTTCAATTGATTGTTTTCAATCAATTGCTTTCATTTGATTGTTTTCATTTGATTTGATTGAACTTGTTAGCAATAAACGTATTTTTTCTTTCTTGAGTCAAGTATAGACTACACACACTAAAGACTTTACAGAAGATAAAGCTGAGCATTACACTGAGCACTCAAGTAGTTTATATACGCAGAAATCGAAGCCGGGTTGCCCGCATGGAATCGAATCCAGACGAGCATTCTACCACTGAACCAGCAACGCCGATTCAGTCGACAAAACTGATAGTTAAATTGATAAGATAATCGATTGATAATCGAAGCAAATGATAAACAGATTTGTTGGCTGAATTAGCATACTAGCATACTATAGTGAGAGTTACTGGATCTTTACTGGACTACTGGATTAAGATACGCTCGGTAAGATACGCTAATGGTTTAACATTGAAAATTGAAGAAGCTGAACAAACAAGCTAAGCTTAAAAGCTAACCAATAAATTGCCGTCTCGAATTCGTCTCTTCCTTTCCCAGGTTTCTCGATCAACGCTTTGAAGAGATCGATTTTACCCTAGAGAATAGGATTTACAAGAAAATAGTCTCAAATTAGAGATTATTATATTTTTCCTAATATTATCACATGTCTGGACAGATTTTGTTTGAATTTTTTCTAAAAAATAGAGAAATGAGGTAATCTTTTTAGAAAAACTCGAACAAAATCAATCCAGAGATACGCGAGAGAAAAAATGATTTACTGCGGAAAAAACAACGACTGCGACGTTCCTCTGGGCATACTAATAGCACAAAAATTTGATACTTTGATCTAAGACATGGACTATTTAGAATCCTTTATCTAGAAGTTAGACAAGGACTATGATGATCATGCTGATCTTTTCTGCTTGATCATTAAAACTTCTACCCCATGCGCTTTCCCATTGAGCACCGAAAAGTCATCATTCCATTCAAAATTCTTCCGAATCTTTTCAAAGTGATCCGCCATTTTTCAAACAAATTTTATTAAGAATTTATTAAGAATAGCAAGCAGAAAAGATAAGGAAAATATTAAAATCCCAAAAATAGATAGAAGAAAATGAAATCACAAATGTTTCACAATTTTTCGACCAATTTTCCCTCTGGAAAGATTGGCCCAATTTCGTCTTTTGAATCCATGAACAAAAAGAGACAAAAGTGGTCAAATTTCTTTCAGAAAATTGAATAGATTCAGTGAATAAACATAAAAATAAACATTTAACATAAAAATATTATTTTTAATTGTTTTTGTAAAAGTTTTATGCATTTTTGAACATGAAACGTTTCATCCACACAAATGCCAACAGGGAAATCCATTTTTTTTTGTATCACAGAAAGCACCGATTGGGATAGATAAAGGAAAAAAAACAAAAATTATAAAAATTATATAAAAAAACAAAAAAGTTTTTGGTCAACAACAGGATTTTGGCTTTTTTTTAAGCAATTCCCTGAGCTCATTTCGATAGATCATTGAGGGGATACGCTCGGTAAGATACGCTAATGGTTTAACATTGAAAACTGAACAAGCTGAACAAACAAGCGGAGAGATTTCAGATTTGATCGATCACCATGAGAGTTTTCTGAAAAATGCATATTGATTGAAGTTTAATACCTAAATATTCTTTAAAAGTTATTAGAATTATTCAAGATAATCTATACAAAGCTAGAAGTAAAGCCTTGCTACTTTTCTGAACGCTGAATCGGGTACGATCTACAAGTTAGTTGATGATCTAGATCTACAAGTTAATTGATGATCTAGATTTACAAGTTAATTGATGATCTAGATCTACAAGTTAGTTGATGTTACGATAATCCTTACGAGAAACTGCTTGGGAACTGCTGTTACTTTATCTATTAAATGACAATAAATGTTCAATCAAACCTTCAAGTTCAGAAGAAAAAAAAGAAAAGAACTCACGGTTGATCTCCTCTCAATCTGGAGCAAGTGATCGCCTTCTCATCATCCGACGTCTCACTGTTCGGCATCCTGAAATGGTGAATACAGGGTGACCGAGAATTATAGCGATCCATTTCTGAAGGGTCTAGCTCAGCAAGAACTCAATGAATCCGTATGAAATTTTTGGAGGTCATTTTTGAGTATCTCTCCTGTATCCAAGCCCATTTTCTAACTAATTTTTGCTTCTAAAATCTTTATATGACCATACAAAGTTGCGAGTCGCGGTACACCTGGCGAAAAACCCAATTTAAGGTTAAGAGCCGTTTTTGAAGTTATTTAATGAAAATGATCATGTTTAAACCGAAAAAAGATTAAACAAATCAAAAGATCTCATAGAAATTCGATTTTCTGTCGTCGAATTTGATTAAACTGCAGTTTCGTAACAGAATTTTCTTAAGGAGTCCACTCGAAAGTTTAGAGAAAAAAATCTGATGACACCTTTTTTGAAAAGCTTTTTCAATATCGCTTTTTCTTTTTCATTTGATATTGTTTATCAAAAAAGACATAAGGAATCTGTAATATTTTAAGAAAAAATGATTTCTTAAAAACCTTAAATTGGGTTTTTTCGCCAGGTGTACCGCGACTCTCAACTTTGTAAGATCATATAAAGTTTCTAGAAGCACCAATTAGTTAGAAAATGGACTTGGATACAGGAGAGATACTCAAAAATGACCTCCACAAATTTCATACGGATTCATTGAGTTCTTGCTGAGCTAGACCCTCAGAAATGGATCGCTATAATTCTCGGTCACCCTGTATTTTGTGGATCTTGATATATATCCCTTTTGTCCTAAATCCCATAAAAAAAAGCAAGCGTCATTCAAATCAAAAATATTCAAACTTCACAACAATTAGACCATGACAACATGTTGTTTGAGAGAAAAATGAAAATTACAAGACAAAAGTTGTAAACACGCTTTACCTCAGTCGAGTCAATTTGGGCAATCTTGAAATGGGTTTTGATTGCAAAAAAACTATATAAGAAATAGATTGGGGAGTAATGGGATTAGTATCTATCCGGCTACAGTATTAGATCTGGTAGCACGTCGGCGGACTAGCTCTAGCTCCGAATGAAAACTAACGACCGTACTGGTATTGTTAAGTTTTTGGCTAGTTTTTGTTCACTTGCTTTATGATTACTTTATTTTGCTCAAACCTCGAACAAATAACAATTAATGATTACTTAGTTTGAATCTATGAACATTATGAACCATTAGACTTTAGACAAGTCTAGGTTTGTCTTAGCTGTCTTTGTCTTAGTTGATCATCTGGTACTAGATTAGCTGATTCTGCTATATCAGATCAAGAAATCAGATACTGAATCTGAAAATAAATAATCTTCTACTGAATTAGTTTTTAAAGCAGCGACATTTAGATTAAACTCTATTCACCATAGGCGTTAGTTTGACTCAAAAAAAACTACAGAGAAAGGAAAGGGAAAGGCAAAAAAAAAGGCTGAATAGCTGAATAGCTGAATTTAAAAGCAAGAAAAGGGGAAATGAAACTAGAGACATTCTCTTACCTCACGTATGCGTGCAATTTCGGTGTGTGGGGTTTGATCTTGTCGATGAGTCCCGTTTGCGAGACTGTTGGCGGTTTGTCACGGCTTTTCCAGAAAATGTCCTCATTCCCCTCGCCAATCTCGGCTGAAATTGAATAATCTAGTCAATAATTTTCTTGTTTTCTCAATATTGTCCGCTTAAAGTACTGTAATCCATTCGTAGGCTAAATAGCTGGTCTTGAAGCTTGAAGAATAGACCAACAGACTCAAGGCCAAGTCTAAGTCTGGTTCAAACCTAGGGCTGGTTTAGGTTCAATCTAACAAGAGAATAGTCAGAAGTGACAGTGAGATTTTGGCACCAAAATGAGCAAACACCTATCGAATACGGCGAGTACGATGGTGCTTTCGGATTTTGTTAAGGATCGATAATTTTCGAGAAAAACGGCTTTGAAATTTCTACTCGAAAACAAGACCCGCTTCTATAAAACGGCTTCTTTCTGGCAGAGCAAACCTCCCCGCGTGGTCGGTGGGTAGAGTCCTCGCCTCTCATTCTTGCTACCCTGGTTCGGTCTCGGTCAGCGCCATTTACATTGTTTTTTTCAAACTTTGTATTATATATATTTCAAGGGTTATAGAACTTTTAAACTTTAATTTTTCCCCCATTGTTCAACAATTTTATCCATAAATCCAGAAGCCAACCACAAATATCAATCAACATGCAATTTCTTTACAAAATGATCAAAACATAATGATCATACGAGAAGTGTGAGCACGAGCGACTAGGTTGTGAGGTTGTAGAATGGCTATACGTTCTTAAGGGTAATATATAGTTTGTAATTAGTTTAACTGATTGACTTATGGCTTCTGGATTTATGGATAAAATTGTTGAACAATAGGGGAAAAATTAAAGTTTAAAATTTCCATAAACCTTGAAATAGATAAAATGCAAAGTTTGAAAAAAACGATGTAAATGGTGCTGACCGGGACCGAATCAGGGTGGCAAGAATGAGAGGCGAGGACTCTACCCGCTGACCACGCGGGGAGGTTTGCTCTGCCCGAAAGAAGCCGTTTTATAGAAGCGGGTCTTGTTTTCGAGTAGAAATTTCAAAGCCGTTTTTCTCGAGAACTATCGATCCTTAACAAAATCCGAAAGCACCATCGTACTCGCCGTATTCGATAGGTGTTTGCTCATTTTGATGCTCACGGTCACTTCTGACCATTCCCTTGTAAGACTTGATCCCAGTCTAAGCACAGCTTGGTCTAGAACAAATAGTCCTAGATTTATCGATGCTTCACAGTATTTCTCGTTTTCTATTGCGTCAATGAAACGAACGATAGGTCGTTTCCATCATTTGATGAACCATTGCAAACGAGGTGGTGATATTCCGATCCAAAATCCAATTCAACTCAATGTCGTCATCGTCCAAACCAAATGGTCGCATCAAATCTTGACCGACCTAAAGAACCAGAGAAGTTGCTCTTGTTCAACTCAAAATTTACCTTAAACCATCCGACAAAAAACAAAAATTGCACGATGAGGAAGAACGGGATTTTGAGATCAAATGTCTAAATTTTGAAATAAAAATTGAAAACGAGATTTTGCCAAGTCCAACCTTTGAGTCTCCATCTAAAAATTGGCGTCCAAATAAGCAGAAAAAGAAGAAAGCGTAGGTGGCAAGAGCGGCCACCTGAAAAAAACTGATCGAAGAATTGGAAGCTTTAAAAATCTTGATTTTGATATCTACAATAAAGCTTGCTGATCAAACTATTGAATTGTTTACCTGCGTGTAAACGAGCGGCACACACACCCAATCATACGAGAAAAGTTTCCGGAAAGATTGTCGATACAGTTTCAGTTCTGAAAGGTGTAAGAATAAAACAGGATAGAGAAATAGAAAATTATGCAAAAAGATACAAAAAGGAGATATTGAACTGTAAATTTGTTTTGGGATCAATTGAAGCTATTCATTTTATCCATTATATCAATTGGAATTGGGATTGGACAGCCTGGGATTGGATTTGGATTGTTTTAAGTCTGGATTTAATCCGGTCCAGATACTATTTAGTACTTGCGACCTTTTTCAGATAAAATCCTGGGTTGGCGCTTTAAAGAGTGGTAAAACTACCGTACCCGCGAATGAAATAAAAAAATGAAATTTGCGCGAAATTTCATTTTTTTCTCATTCTTGTTCATTTCATTTTATTCTTTTTGCGTTTTTTTCGATGTTTCAACGTTTTTTTTCAACTAAAAAGCCACAAAAACAAACGCGCGCACATCAGAAAAACGCAAAAAGGGTGGGAAAATGCAATGAACAAGGATTGCCTTTTAAGTCCGTAGAGATTCAAAAATATTTCCATATAAGGGAATCGTATGCGTAGATTCCGAATTTCGACAAATCAGACCTCGCTGACACGTTAAATTTGGGCTAAAAGGCAAAAACTGCGGAAAGGCGTTAAGTTGCGTAGTTTTTACCTTTTAGCCCAAATTTCCCGCGAAATTTCGATTTTTTTCAATTCGGATTGTTCATATTCCCTTTTATGAAAGCCTTTTTGAGCTTTTTCGATCTTTCCAAGGCTTTTTCCAACTAAAAAAAGGGCCACAAAGTCCGGGTCCGCAAAAAAAAGGTCGCATTTGTCCCACCCCCATAAAAGCCACTTAACTTAACATTAGTTGGCATCAAGTTCGTGGAGCAGATTGTCGGGAAGCAAGTGGGTCTAAAAAACTCTACAAACAAAGCTTCTGCCACAGAAAATGGTGTTAAAAACGTAACCTAGCTTCATCCTCTTTGTTTCCTGCAAAAACAAACGCGCACACATCAGAAAAATGCAAAAAGAATAAAATGAAATGAACAAGAATGAAAAAAAAAGAAATTTCGCGCAAATTAGGGGGTACGGTAGTTTTACCACGCTTTAAAGCGCCAACCCAGGATTTTCTCTGAAAAGGGTCGCAAGTCTGTTTAGGGGGTAGGCTAATTTCCGCCATTTTATTTGCGCAACTGGGTCGTTCCGCCATGACTTTCTTCTAAGTCAGCCAATCTTTATGATTTTGGTTTCATTTTGTATATCTCAATAAGTGTAACAAAATGACACCAAAATCATAAAGATTGGCCGACTTAGAAGAAAGTTATGGCGAGTTGCGCAAAAGGTTTCGCTCGAAGTAGTCTATCCCCTGTTTAGTCATTTAAATTGGATAACAGTTGTTCTTACCTGTCACAAAATTATTCACAAGCGATGTGGTCGGGTTGTTGTCCTAGATTCATAATTGACTATCTTTTTTCAACAACTTCAAACCTTGACTTCATCTTGTAGGATTTGTTGAACCCAATGTAATGGAGCCATCCATCGAATAGCCGGACAGGTGGCCTGAATATTTTGATACTAATGAAAGTCTGAAAAATTTACATAATGTTCTTCAAGAATGATGTACTCTTTGTCAGTCAACAAGCCAGCGGTAATCAAATCGCGGACTTTCGGGAAACGGAGACGGATTTTTGAGGAGACATCTCGCCTGGAAATTGACTTCAGTCTAGGCTCAGCTCTGGTTCAACCAGATGCTGTCCATCTAGTTCCAGAAAGATCAATTCAGGACCAGTTTAGACCAAATAGTTCTAGATTCAGTCAGAGCCAATTGCAGGTCAAATCCCAGTTCCAGTCTAGATGGACAGGCTAGGCTTTAAGGTTTAAATTCAGGTCCATTTAGGTACAGCTAGTTCTAACCAGAACCAATCAAGGCTCAATTAGGCCAGCCTAGGTCCAAATCCTGGAAGCTAGTCCAGTTTAGGGCTGATAGTCACAGGCCCAGGTTTAGACTCAATCCGCTCCAGGACCAGTAACTTTCAGATTTAGTCAAGATCCAGGTCTAGCTAGTGACAGCAATCCAATTCTCACCAAGCCAACGCTGAGGTCAAATTGAGATATCTTGCAATAACGTGTCTTCTCCGTTGACTTTTCTCGTCATCTTTCGGAATGACCAAGCATAGGAGGGAGATGATATCCTCTGGCCATGAGAGGGTCTCAAATTGACGCCACCATCTGAAATTTGAGGAGATTGCATTGAGTGTAAGTTAAAATTTGTAAAAAACACCGACCTCGAGACAACATTTGACACATAGAAACCGAGTAGAAAAGTGAGTGGGATCAGCTTTGTGTACTCGTTGAATTGGAGGCAAAGGGTACGGAATTGTTCCCTGAAATGATTGCAGATAAAAGTAATTTGTTTCAAATCTCTTACTTGATCTTCGGCCGATCACGAGCATCAAAGAGCACATCGATCCCCTCTTTGTAGAATATTCTGAATATTATTTTAATATGAGTACTGTAAACCTGTTTCCTATTGTAATGCAATACTATGCAAGACCTGGGCCCGGTTTCACCAACGAATCTTGTATCTTGTATCTTGTATCTGTATCTTGTGTCTTGTATCTTGTATCTTGCACCTTGTATCTTGCATCTTACATCTTGCACCTTGCAAGAGCTAGCGATTTCACCGAACTTTCTATTTTGCGCCCCAACGCTACCGTAGGACAAAAGCCTTTTATAGTTTGTAGCAAAGAGCTTCTTAAATTCATTTTTTGCAGTTTTCTCAGCTAAAGTTAGCTAAACTTCGAATTTATCTTTTTTCCTAGCGTTCCTATCGTCTTGTTGTTCTCTATAATTTTTAAAATATAGCTTCGCAGCTACAAACAAGATGTCAATTATGGGCGGACTCGAAGTAAAGAGAATGCGGATTGCCGTCAACACGTTCACTGATAGAGGCTCGGAGACAATTTACCCAATTATGGTTTCCAATTGGACGGCGTGGAATACAGCGATCATAAAAGGAGGATCAAAATCAAACGAAAAACCACCGGGTAAGAAATTGTTGGAGCAAGATGGAGGCACTGGAGGAAAACGATGAACGTGGCGACTTAAACGAGGCACAAACTTTGAAACAGATCACTAACGATATTCAGCGTATCAAGACGGAAATTTCGACTCAAAAATAGCATCGAAATGGCACCGGTGGAGGATCGCAACGAAAGGCCAAGGGATTTTGCAGGGTCCACTGGCCTGTAACCGATATGCTCCGGTCTCTGTAAGCCAGGTAAGGCCAGAGCCAGAGTCAGGTTCAGCTTCATAAGCCTACAATACTCAAAGGACAAGTCTACAGTGCTCATAGAACCTGCAGGTCAACAAGGTTTGCAGCAAAGGCAGACCAAACAAGGCTAGGATCTGGCATATTTCAATTACTCAAGCTCTCAATTGGGTAATTGATCTGGAGAGGCTATTGGGGATCTGGAGAGGCTATTTGGATCTGGAGAGGCTATTCTTCATCAATTTAATTCCTATTCAGTTAGTTTAACTCAAATCTCTCACCTAATCGCATAATACAACGCCAAATAAATGATGAGCTCTTTCCACGTGGATCTCCATATTGAACCCTTCCATCGGAGAAGTAATTTGAAGAAATTCCCCGAATACGATATTGTCATCTAAAAGATTCAAAAAATAGCTGAGGAAAATGGATAAGTCAAATTTTACGAAAATCAGAAAATTTGAGTATGCAAACATTGAGGGATTAAATTTCAGGGCTCAAGTAGAAAGCCTTGAACAAAAGGAACAAAGTAAAATGTTAGCTTAAACTAAATTAGCCTTAAAATCAGCAGTAGAATTCTATTTTAAATTGTAGTTTTCGTTCATAAAGCAATCAATTTACAAAAGCAATCAATACAAAAGTAAATTTGGTCAAAAATTTGTTGTCTGAAAAAGATCCAAATTTTGGGAGTGGGACAAATGCGACCTTTTTTTGCGCACCCGGACATTTGCGCACCTTTTTTCCGCAACTAGCCCATTAGCGCACCTTTTTTCGCGTTTTAAAAAAGCTCTAAAAGCTAATATTAACCAATTTCTATTCCAAAAGTTGTTTTTCTAGGTAATTTGAGGGTGTCGAATTCAAATTTTGACATAACAGAGCGTGTGGAACCAATTTGAAAGACAAAACGGCTAGATCAAATTACAGAAAATTGTTGATTTTTCTCTTTGTATAACTACGTCCGTTCGCTTCCACAAGCTCTGATATGCCAAAATTTCGATTCTATGCCCTAAAATTACCTAGAAAAACAACTTTTGGAATAGAAATTGGTTAATATTAGCTTTTCGAGCTTTTTTAAAACGCGAAAAAAGGTGCGCTAATGGGCAAGGTGCGGAAAAAAAGGTGCGCAAATGTCCGGGTGCGCAAAAAAAAGGTCGCATTTGTCCCACTCCCCAAATTTTAATTTGAACAGGACAAAGTTTTTCTTCAATCATCGCAACTTTTTTCAAATAGTTTTTTTGAAATGGGCGGAGTTGTGGCGAAAAAATTGCTGCAGTGTGGTTGAAAAGGGGAGATTTGAAGAGAAAATATTGAGTGAAAAGTCGAGGATGAGGATTGGGAAAATGCGGAGTAATTGAAAATACGGAGTAAACAGGAAATGAAAAAAAGAGAGTATTTATTTGTTGGGTTGAGTGTGGGAAAGGCATTCACACCGGTGAGAAGAAGTGAGGAGAAGTGTGGAGAAGTGAAGGGTATTGAGGGATGGGGATCACTGAACGACACCCAGATTGACTCACAATAGCTGAGAAATTAGAAATACCGTATTTACTCGAAGAGAAGACCGGTCTTCTATTTTTTTTCAATCACTCCCTAGACCCCGTCTTCTATTCGAGTAAATACGGTAGTCTTGAAAATGCAAGATTGAGTGGCAGGGTCGAACCCGGATCGTGTGTGCCGCAGACAATCCCCCGTCTTCTATTCAATTCGTCTTCTTCTATTCATCTTTTATTATTTGCATTCACGAAAATTTTCAGGAAAATAACCAGCGTTTAAAAAAAACTTTTTTATAGAAATTTATTGTAATATTTAACAAGAAAATTTATCAACAACAACCTTTAATAACAACATTAACAACAATTAATAAGAACATAAAAAAGCAGTAACAACAACATTATTCTTCATTCTCATTTGATTCAATGTCATCCACTATTAAATCCGGATCTTGCAAAATTCCATCAAGTCCCTCTGCGCTCGAAATTGAATCGTTTTCACCCTCATATCCATTGTTTCTATCCTCGTCAGAGTCGATATCTTGACAAAATTTTGCTAATCTTCCCTTCAATCTTGCAATATCCAGCTTGAATCGACCACTCTCAACAGCTTCCCCTTTGCGGAAACAAACAATCTGATCATCCTCGCTGTTGGACTCCTTGTTATGATTTTTTGCCGTCTCAAAAAATTCGCAAGCCATTCATTGCTTGCAGAGAAAGAATTTGTGAAATCTAGGTTCGATTCGCGAAAAAACTCCTTGGCTTTGTCCTGAACCATACGTCGAGAAACTTTCAGCTTTTCCTTTTCCTCTCGTTTTTCTTTGATCCATCGATAAGTGACCTCCTCGACTGCGCGAAATTTAAGCATTCGCCCTCCTCCATTTAACCGCTTCGCTTCTTTCGATTCCTTTTGCAGCGACTCCTCTTTTGCCGTCCAGTCTCGAATCATCTTTGGAGTCACATTAAACTGTCGAGCAGCCGCCTCTTTCGAGTTTTTCTTTGAAAAACGAATGGCCTCGAGTTTAAAGGCGGCACTGTAGGCTTTCCGTTTCGTAGCACCTCCGATCACCTAAAAAATGCTACTTTTCCGTTATACCTCCGCCAACTCCACATTTCCGTTATATCCCGCCAGTTTTTAGATAAAAATGAACAGATAATCAAATAATTAAAAATAATTAGAGTCAAAATAACGGAAATGTGGAGATGGCGGAGGTATAATGGAAAAATACCAAAAAAATAGTGCTATTGAATGAAAAAGATAATACCAAAAATAAAAAATCAATAGTACTATTGAATGAAAATATAATATTTTTACCCTATTGGGTAAATTCCCTTATTCTTTTTCCGTATTTGAGTACGTCCACTTTCGCGCAGAATAGCAAACAGGGTACCTCGAATATAAGACCGATCTTATATTCGACATCTCGACGACGACGTCTTCTATTTTTTCGATCATCCCCTAGAGCCCGTCTTGTATTCGAGACGAGAATAGAAGACGGTCTATGGGATGATCGAAAAAATAGAAGACCGTCTCGAATATAAAGACGGTCTTCTATTCGAGTAAATACGGTATTACAAATCCTGAGTGAAAAAATAAATCGATTTCCCACTGCGATAAAATTAACGACTCTCGTAACATTGACAGGACTTTTTGACTATTCTAGAGATATTTTTCTATTCTAGAGACACTTTAAAATATATTGTTTTATGTTTTCGATAACTTATTAACAACAATTTAACAAAAACAATATCCTCCAAAACAAAAATCTCCCAATCATTTCTTGTCCTGGATTCCATAATTGCAAAAAAATTCAGCAGAAAGTCAAACACGCAACTTCAACTCTTCAAACTCTTTACAACAATTTGATAATATTTTTTTCAAAAGAAACTTTGCCTAGAACTAATTTAACTATAAAATTAAACTTACTCGAAAATTTTAAACATAAGTTATTAAAAAATCTTTTCTACAAAACCAGTTCTAAACATGAAACAAAACTAAAAAAATCTTTTCTAAACATAAATCTAGAAATTGAACTTGAAATGGGAAATTGAATCAAATCAAATAAGAAAATTAAAGAAGAACATTAAAAAAAGTAGATGTTTCTATTTCAAATAATTCAATTCAACAAAGCTGGTGAACTTAAAGAAAAGTAGTGTTTGAAAGGAAAGTGGAGGGAAAGGACAACATGTGTATTTGCATAGCCGAGTCGGCCAGCTTTTTCCTTTTCCGCAAAATTTGACAGCTGAAATGAAAACAAATTATTTTTCAAAATAAACAAATGAAATTTATTTAAATAGAAAAATGAATTAACTGTAAAATGGGTAAAATGTTGAATACCGTATTCTCTCTAATAGAGGTGCACTCTTTAATAGTAGTGCACGCTCTAATAGTATTGCGGTCCAGGAGGGGGTTCAAAAAATAGTAGTGCGCACTACTATTAGAGAGAATACGGTAACTACTTTACTTTAAGAGTTTTTCTTTTCAAGATTTCAACGAGTGATTCATTGAGTCAAGACACGAATGCGGTGAGTAAATAAAGGTTTTTTCTTTTTTTTTTTCAACAAAAAATATGTAATAGACTTTTGAAAAGTGACTAAAATACGAGTTTTTTGAAGGAAATTTTTGAAAGAAAAACGCAAAAGATAACAAATTGGGGGCACTTTTTAAGAAAAGGAAAGAAGAGAAAAGGGTAAAACGACTTTTTTTTATTGCTGAATTGGTGAATTGGTGAAATTAAGTTATTGTTTTTGCATTTCGAATGCTGTTGAACATTTTACATGAAACTAGAACATTTTACATGAAATCATTCAGCTTTAGCTTGGCTATTTTCAAGAACAAACTTGTTCAAATTTGTTTTGCCTTCAGCTTCAGCTTTTCACTGATCCACTCACTCACTCACACATTCTTTAACGCATTCACTGATGACTGAAAATCACTGAATTAAGCTCTTTTCTGTTCACTCTTTTCAATACCATAAAAGCTATTATTTACAAAAAAATTTGATTAAATTTGAACAAAAAAAAGAAGAAAACAAAATGAGACAAAGAAGGAAAAATATGGAAAAAGTCAAAAATAGATTAGATTTAAAAATGATAGAGTCAAAATAGATTTAAAAATGATATACCTAACGCCAAAAGTCTATCGAATCTTTCTGCAAGTTATTTCCAAAAAAAAGGGAAATATTTCCCCCCGGTTTGTCCTTGGTCTTGATTAGTTTTCGCAGTCCTTTTAAAAGAAAAATTCCACGATAAGAGAAAAAAGAAACAAAAATCTTGTCTTAAATCAACTCAACACCAAAAAAAATGAAAAAGAAAAAGATCTAGGAACAAAAAAATGACTCAAATTGTTTTCAAAAATTAATTGTTTAAAGGGAATCGTTGAAAATTTGTTATACCAACAATGGTATAAATTTGTTATACCAACAATCGTCATGATACCCCAATAAATCTATTGGGGTATAACAACTCTTCTCGTTTCCCCCATATCTCAACTCCCAGTTGACCGATCAACTTGTGGTTAGTCTTAAAATGTTCCTTATGAAATTTGGTTATAGAAATCCACAATGTTTGTACATGTATCCACAATGTACTACGAAAATTTGTTGGTGGAAAAGTCCTTTCGGATTTTTTGGGAGAGTACCTTAAATTTGTCGAATTTAGACGTTTTATAGCTCATCCTAAAGCTGAATTCAAGACTTCAACCCAATAGATTTTGTTGGAATAGAGATTTATCGAAAATGAAATGAGTAAAATGAGTAATTTAGAGAAAGCAGGTTCTCATGGGATTTTCATGGGATTCTCATGGGATTTGTGGTGCAGAATTCTCTTGTTTTCAGTAATATGTTTAAAAGTTGTTATTCAGAAGATTTCAGAGGTTTTAAAACAAAAGAGACTAACTTTTTTGATATTAAAGGACTAAATAGTAGTCAAGTAGTCAAACTATAAGTATTTGCCGAGTTTTTCGCAAAGTTTTCCCCATAGAAATGTAGCCAATCTGGGAAAACAAATGATAAAAAGACTTGTCCATACTTTTTGCTTGAAAGTGTAAACACACTTTTTTAACTCACTGGATTCTTTATTTCATTCGTTCTTTACTGTTTCTAAAAGGAAAATGAAAGAATCAAGTGGGCTAGAAGAGTGTAAGAAATCTATGTTTATGATTTGATCTATATAATTTCTTGTGAGACCGTGTCTTCAATAGTGGTGTGGTTCAATAGTGGTCGTCTTGAAAGCGCGCAATTTATCAAACTTTCCCTTATTAGGGCAAACTTCGCTCAAACTGGAGCAACCTGGCACTATCACAATTAATTCAACACTTGCGTATGAAAAAAGGATGAATAGAAAAAGGAGCACACAACTGACTCAAGACAAAGCTTAAATAATGGGTTTTTAAGTACACAAGTTACGACAAACGGACAAATTCACAATTAATTCAACACTTGCAAGTGAAAAAAAAAGGATGAAAGATAGCAAAAAAAGGAGAAACAAACTCACTCAAAAGCAAAGCTTAAATAACGGGTTTTTTAAGTATACAAGCTACAACAAACGGACAGCTGAATATCGTCTAGTGACTGACTACGGTAGTTTATCCATTAACTTTGAATTTTAACTTGTGTATTGAATTTTTGACTAACTGCAGAGCAGTGGCAATTCGCCACAAAGAGATGTGTTTGCAAATATAAGCAAAAAGTGTATCTGAATGTTGTTAAAATGATTGCTAGATGTTGTAAAGATGTCTAGTCTCAAAATAATTTTCAATTTGATGAAATAGAAGATGAATTTCATCAGGAGAAGATCGAAAGAGCTGAAAGAAGGAAAAGAAAAGAAGAAAAGAATTCTTTTCTCTCTCATTGCTGTTGGATGGGCAAAAATGAGCTTAGGATTCTTTGGAAAAGAGATCGATGCACAAAATCCCCAAAAAGGGGAGGAAAAGGGGAGAAATGGGGGAGAAAATGGGGAAATACATCCATTGGAAAGAACTCTTTTCCATTGAAAGTTCAACGTAATATTCTGAAAGTGTTAAAATTGTTTTCAAAACTATTCTTTACTTTTACTTAAAATTCTTTAAACTCACTAGTAGCAGAGTATTGAAATGGAAAAATTTTTTTGATCTAAAATTACAGAATCAATCTTTCTAAACGTTACAAAAATTCATTAGCCGATTTGTCTTGTTGAAAGTTATAAATCAAACTCCGATAGAGAGACTCACAGATGGAAAATGTCATAAATTTTTTGTATTTGCTTTGCCCGAGATCCTAGCAACGTTTGAAAATGTGTATTTTTGTTGTTGTGGGGACTTTTTTGGCTTCTTTTAGAGATCTTTTTCTTCCTCATTCTAAAGCTTTTGAAAGACTGTTCAAAGTATTACAAAATATTGAAAAAATCGGTTGTTGATTGTTGTTTACAGAGTAAATCAAAATTTATGCCCCACTCAATGGCCTGGTGAAGAAAGAGTGAGTAGAGTGATGTTTCAATGATGCTTTAGGACATGAAATCCGGACCAGACCAGGCCAGACCAGACCAGGCCAGACCAGACCAGGCCAGACCAGACCAGGCCGGAAGCTTGGCCAAGGCTCCAACAGTTTTTCTTTTGTTCATCTGATCCTTGTCTTTTAACACGTAATTCATTCCATTATCTCGATCAAAAAAGAATCATGTGAGTTTTGTAGCAAAAATACAGCCAAATTTGGGGCAGAAATCGCAGACATCTGGACATAGTGACGCTGAAAACCATGAGGACCGCTGATTAGCTCAAGCGCCAAAAGGGAAGCTCATATACCCAGGCGGTTTGCTAGTTGGAGAGCGATTGTGTGGCTGCACAAAGAACACCTCATTTACATTGCAACCGTATTGCATCTGAAAAGAACCGTATTGGAACCTTATTGGATCTAAAAAGAACCGTATTGGACCGAAAGAACCGTATTGGAACCGTATTGGATTTTGCATTGTAGATGGCACAAAAAGGAGTTATTTAGGTGTAAATTTGTACCGGGGATTTTCGAGATCGAGGAATTGATTGAAGCTATTCATTTTATTCAGTTTACCTCGGGGTTAATTGATCTAAACTTTTCGACGAATTCGGAAACGTATTAGCCTTTCTTGGAGAGAAGATTCGCATCATTGATCATTCAATTGATCCCGAGTCCAGGCAATTGATGAGTTCAATTATTCTCTTTTTTTGTTAATCACTTGTGGTTACCAATGCTTAACCAATGTGTTGATGGAGAAAGAGAGGATTGAAGTGTAATGGTCGAGAATGGGAAAGGGAAAGGAGGGAAAGGAGGGAAAGAAAAAGAATGAAAAAGGAAAAGAGCTACAATAGATTGACAAGAGATCGATGAAAGATGGAAAACTCTAAAAGGCCAAGAGAGATTTCTCCAATCAGCTAACAGCTGACCCTTTCCTCTTCTCGTATCGTGGATGTTCCCGAATGAGTCCCAAGTCTTTCTCAGATCATTTGGATCAGTTCTGGATTGTACGATTGACGTTATTTCACCAGATCTATTCTTGTTTATCCATTTATCAATGCATTGTGATCCGTAGTAGTCAGAGGTTTTTGATCGGCTTGTTTGTTTTAGGGTTGTTTTAAAAAGAATTTTCATGGGATTTGTGGTGCAGAATTCTCTTGTTTTCAGTTATTTGTTTAAAAGTTGTTAGGCTAGGCTAGGCCAAGTACTGGGCTACGTTAAACTACAGTTATCTAAACTCTACTTTCTGGCCTGGTCCTGGGTTTTCAGCAGACCTAACCCAGTTTTGACTCTTCTCTCTTAGCCTAGCTTTGGCCTTAACCTGATCTAGCCTGTCTTGACTTACAGTCTTCAGCTGGAACATCGATTTGAAACATTAGCTGAATACTATCCAGTACTTTGGATTAGTACTGGCTGTAGTACTGTTAGTACTATCTACTAGGCTTATTCTTTTTTCAAAATCATTAAGAAATTATATTTAAAATCTTATTTTCCCTTTATCTTTGACTAGATTCCTTCTTTTACCATCTTACCTTACCATCTTATCTTTTCAGTAGAGAAGATCAATTTTTGGGTGTCCCTTACTGGGGACGCCCGAAGTCCGTAGAAGAAAATGAGCGAACGACTCACAGATCGAGTGAGTTAAGCAGTGATTCTGATAGTAAAGCCATAAACTAATATAAATAAGATATTAATGTAATCAAGTAAGTTTCCAGTTGGGCGTTTTATGTATGGCCGAAGATTTGGAGGCTCGTTTAAGCTCACCACACGGATCGAGAAGGAGCTCTCGATCACCGAGGCCTCATGCGTGAGTTGTGTTTGATAATAAACGCCTTTTTATCAGTCTAATCTTTGAAAATCTCAATTTTAACAGTTTAATAAGTATTTATTTCAGTAATAAAGCGTAAAAAGATCCAAATTTTAACAAAAATTTCACTAACACATTTTGCAATTAATCGAAAGAAAGGCAAAAAAACATAATACTATTTACAGATCTAATAAATTGGATAGTTTGGATAAATAGCGGATTTAAACGAGTTTACTGATGAAAGATGAAAGATTTTGATGTTTTAAAGAAAAAGGAACTTTAGTGAACGGCTTTCCCATTGCTCTCATCCAACCATCGCCGCTTGGCCGGCGCCGCCACCAAAACCTGATCTCGTCTCAACCCATCAGGTGAATAAAGCTTGTTTAACTTAAACGAAACTACTGTAGAAGCGAAATTATCCTTATTATATTCAGAAACTTCAACTCTGTGGCTCTCCTCCATCCCTTCAATCCTCGATCATTCCCCCATCAATCGAACTTTCCTCTCCACATCTATTCGGCGATCCATCGAGTGGCCTACTTTCGATACTGAAAGTACCCTCAGCTGCATCGTCTCCGATACCAGGTGAAAAAACGATATCTTTATTAGTTTTGAAGAACAGAGCTAGTTGGTAGTAATAAAGTAAAACCCCCAATTCCCGGTTGGCAACTTTCCAAATCTAAATTCTAAAATACACCTAAGCTACCGTACTCGAGACGACGTCTTTCTTTCCCCCTTTAAAATTTCCAGTTGGAAACGATTCTTTAAAAGCTTCTTTTAAAGAATCGTTGCCCAGTCCAGCGCTTCGCCATGTCTTTTTGCGCGTTTATGTTCCCCTTTCCCTATCGCGTTATAGAATTCTGTTTATTGTTTAAATTCTCCTACTTCTCTTATTGTTTCCACCCCTTGTTCCATGTCTCTTTGAAAAATTGTTAAAGTTTTAGAATTTTTGTATTTTCTCGGTTCTTTCCACTTTATTGGGTGTCTTTCATATCACCGATCAAGTTATTGAAAATTTAAATATCTTTTCTCTATAAACGCCAGTCAATCCAAGCCATCCGCGAAACGTCTTGTTATTTCTCTCGTTATTGTTTATTGTTAAAAATCTCCCAAATAATTTAGAATTAATGTTTCTGGGTTAAAAGATTTAGCAAATTTGGATAAGTTTTGACCCAGAATTTCAATGTTTGAAACCGTAACACGTTATTATTTAAATCGGCTCACTGGTGGCTGAGATTTCGACCGGACGGACGAGATTTGCCTTTTATATTTAGTAGATTGAATATAGTTTCTTAAAAAGTGTAAAAACCGAGAAAGCAAAAAGATTGCATCGGGTCGGGATCGAATCCGAGACTAACCGAGCTCAATGTTGCTCAACTTGGCAGATTGGACGCGGGGACGCACTACCATTCGGCCACGCGGTAGCATATATTCTTTAATTTCGCTTTCAAGGAAAAACGGTCAAGCTATGTGTCAAATATTATTAGATTTTATGAAACTACGTAAAAAGTTAGGTTTATAATGTCAAACTTTTAACTCGATCGGCTCAACCGTTTTTTCTAAAATAACAGACAAACACATACATACTCTCTCTTTTATAATATAGGGTAAGAACCAAAAAAAAGCTATTTCTCAGTCATTTCCCGTTGTATTTTGGGTTTAAACGTAAACAAAACTTTTCATTTCTTTAGGTACTCTGCGAATTCGTGAGAATGAACTTCAGCGAAAGATCCAATCGCTTGAGGACACGGTGGCCGAGTACGAGCGCCAGAAGTACAACGTGATGGGCACTTTCTCAGAGTACAAGTGGGTAAAATGGTTCTAAAAGTGATCACTTTTATAACTACTTTCTTTGTTTGAATTGTTTGTAATTTTAGAGAGCGCGTCACCGAGAGGGAACGCAAATTGGAGGCCGAGTATTCGACGAAGATTTTGTCGCTCAGTGAAGAGGTTTTTAGCTGAATATAGACTTTAATCAAGAAATTTTTATTTAATAATCATAATTCAATCAATCTAAAAGCAAATTTAAAATAATTTTTTATAGAACAACATTTTTAGGTGCTTGGCGCGAAGAAAGACTTCGAGCAGCGGATGAAGAGCTTTCAAGCGCTCCAGGTTTGAAATTACTTTCAAAATTGGATAAATTATATTAGTAGACTGTTAAAATCTAATATTTGATGTGTTTTAGGATAAATTCGAACGCGAAAAAGAGTTGGCGCTGGAGAAATTGCGGAAAGAGCACCAGAAAGAGATTCGTTTGCTGGAGGCGCGATTTTCTGATGGACAACTTCTGAATCTCGAGCAAAAGTGGGTTTTCTTTAAATTCGTATATCGTACTTATATCCAGTTGTAAATATTTTTCAGATATATCCTGGAGATTCGCAGATTGGAAGAGGAGCGGAAGAGTTTGAGGAGTGAAAAAGTGAGTGAAGCGTGGAAAAATGAAAACACGCTAAATGTTTTGGTGCTAACGCATGTCACCGTGACGCAGTCAGGAGCGCACTTTTTTACGGCCCACAGGGCCCGGGTTCGACCCTACGTAGTGCCGCTCAATCATTTATTTTAAATGACACAACTACTATATATATTCTAGGTTTTCTAAAGAAGTTTTAGCTCTATTGATCAAAACACAGCCGAGAAAATACCCGTACAGACAGACAGACATTGCTCTTTTATAGTGGATCAGTACTGTACGATCTTTGTTCTAGGAACGACTCGGTGAGACATTCGAGATGAAACTCCGTCGAGCTCAATCTCTCTATGAGACAGAGTTGGCCGCGGCGAAGATGTTGTATGCAAAAGAATTGGAGGCGTTGAAAGATCACGAGTTTGCGCTGAAAGCTGAATTGGCGGCTAGGTGGGAGCTTTTATATACGAAAACGAGAAAACCGGCACAAGTTCTCTAAAAACTGTTGAGTATGGGTTAATAATGTCAAACAGACGACTTACCTATGGCACTAGGTTTGGCTAGAGTCCTTTTTGATAATCTTGAGTCAATAGTTTAAACAATACGTACCAATTTCTAAGTAGAAGTCAACTGATCCAACTAGTCCAATGTAAGTGTTAACCACTTTACTTTAGACAAGACGAGTTCAACGATCGCCTCAACGAGTTGCAGAATCGAAGCAGAAACGTGAATGATGAATTGAGAGGATGGAAAAATGAGGTAAACTTTAAAAATATTAACAATTTTACATCATCCATTTATAGGTGACCGCACTTCAGAAGAAACTCCGCGCCAAAGAGGGACAAGTCGATGAGATCAATCGAGATGTAAGAGCATAAAACATAATCATTTACAAACACTAACCAAATAGAAAATAGATTGCGGTAGAAAGAACGGTAATTTGAATTCAGTTGGCCGAAGCTAGACGAGATTTGAGTGAGGCGCACGCGAAGCTGAACAGATTGACGAGTGAATGCGCTCAGGAGAAGGCTGAGGCGACGAGGAAAGCCGATGAATTAAAGAATAAATATGGTTGGTGTTGATGGGATTACTGTCTTTGATAACATGCTTGTATCTTTCAATTTCCATGAGTTTTTAGAAACCCTGGTCTCTGTGGAGAGTGCCCGAAACGAGCTTCAATCAGTGATCGTCGATTTGAATACCCAAGTGAAGACACTCAAGAATAAAGTTGAATTCTTGGAAAAGGTAGGAAAAACTTGAAAGGTATCTAATGATATAGATTTCAGGAACGAACAAATCTTCAATCACAGAGTGAATCACAGACACACGTTCACGACTCACAAGTGCATGCTCTGGAAGCGGTGAGGGTTTTTTTGATATTGTAGGCTGTAACTTTATGCTATAGCTTGGCTAAGATAGTCCTTGATAATGAAAGATTCGGCTCTTTCTTATTACTTTAAAAAAATTTGGGTACCTTATACAACGATTCACCAACCAACTTTTAACATTTGCGATTTTTCCCGTTTCTTAAGGCTCTCATTATTTTTTTGTTTTTGATTAGTTAATTCTGATTTTATTGAGGAGTTTTGTTTAGTGCAATTCAATGTAGATACAATGCAATTTTTCCTATATTTGTAGTCCTTTTTCAACACTCCATTCGATACCCTTGTGGAAAAACAAAAAGTCCTCTCACGATATATTTTTTTGAATACATCTTCAGAACGGCTACTGGAAAGAAATAAGGTTTTCATCATTTGTTGGTGAGATTAGAAACCGCCTATCCGTTACCATAAAAACCTCAGCCTTTGTTCAAAAGACACATTTATACATAAACATTAATGTTAAAGCAAAGCATCAAATCGCCCTATAAGGTACTCGATTTTTTCAGAGAATCTGATTTTTTTAAAGAAACCCAATTCTTAAGGTATAATAGAAAGCCAAAAAGTTCAGATGTTGGATACTGTGACGAAAGAGAAAGAAAGCACAAAGGAGAACTATGAGAAGTTGTTGGCAAAAGAGAAACAACAGGTACACTTTATGACGTAAAAATATACTAGATGCTTTAGGCTATCTACAACGGTTGTTTGACTTGTTAATCTACAAATTTCTAGGCTGAAGCCCGTGAGCACGCAATGAAGAAAGAGTTCAGCACGAAGTTGAACGAGTTAGAAGAACAGTATAATGCGTTGAAAGAAGATCTTGAGCATTCGGCCAGAGCAGATAGAGATGAATTGAGAGAGGTGGGGAAATATTGGGGGAAGATCTTTGTTAAGGAAAGATTAAGATTTAGAAAACTTGATGATGATTTAGGCAACAGCTCGTGAGATGGACTCGTTGAGAGCCGAGAGAGATCTCCTTGAGTCACAATTTGAGGCGCTCAAAGAGCAGATCGATGGGGAAAACGCGGTAAGAAATGGAACTTAATAAATTTTGCATAGAATTTATGAGCAAATTAGAAAACTCGACTAATTCCAGGAGAATTCGGTGGATCCAAAGTTGCAGAAGATTCTCGACGATGCATCGGCGCTTCGGGAACAAATCGACGCGTACAGGAAGAGGATTATCGCAAAGGTCTTTGAGCTATAAAGATAGTTACAATATTCAAAGTTCTATAGTATTTTATCAATATATCAATATTCATTTATTCAGGAAGCAGAGATCGATCAACTCAAAGAGCATCTCCATCAAGAAAATCAAGTGCACGCCGACCAATTGATGGTGATCAGGGATGAGATTAGGTGTGGGATTATTTTTGTTGTTTGTTGATTGTTATTAGATGGAAATTGTTATTGTTATTGTTAGAATTATGTAGTAGGATGTTGGCTAATTAATATAGCTAATTAATATAGCTAATCAATATAGCTAATCCAATATAGCTAATTAATAAGAATTTAACATAATTTTCATACTAATTGTATTCGATTGATGAATAAGTCTTTTTGTTCCTTTTTCCGTTGTTTGTTCCTTTTATAATTCCGTTGAAATATAACAAGTCACCAATTAACCTATGGCTTACTCTAAATAATGTTTATTATTCAATTTTCCATCTTTTTAAGTCAATTTTGGTTCATTTTCAAGAAAATTTCATAGTGAAAACACGTGTTTTTCGTGAAAATCTAGAAAAACCTCTACGAAGAAATTGGTTCAATGAATTTCTCTCAAAATTTGGCTATAGATCTAACTTTTTATGCTCTATCTTTTATCTATTGACACGAAAATAGATTTCCTTAGCTAAAACGTATAAGCAATACCATCAAGCTGTCGCCCTTTTTGACTACCCGACTTCAAGCTCCCAAAAAAATCCAGAAATAAGACATTTAAAACACGTTTTAATGTTATTTTGCTGAAAAATAATTGAACTTTCTAGTGAAATAAACCGTAGTTCAATTGGTGCATTTGTTGGTTTTAAATGGAAGTACAAAAAGGAACGAAAAGAATTATTCACCAACCTAATAAGTCTAAGATTTATGACCACCAAACTGGCCCATGAGATATCGCCAGGTTTAGCCTAACCCGGCTAACCCGTTTCCAATCTGAATTGGTCTGACCTTGGCTACTCTTACTATTAGTAAGACTAATCAAAGTCATTTTCCTTCGTGACCCTTCAATTTTCAGACTCGAGCTCTTGGCCAGCAATGAGTTTTCCGGAAAAACGACTCAAAGTCAGATCCAGGAAAAGGTATTAGTTGGACAAACTTTAATATAAAACTTTTTCAGATGGCCGAACTCGAGCTGCTTCACGACAAGGATTGTGATGACTTGCAGAAAAGAATCGAGTGAGTAAAAAAAGCGAGCTAACTTGGTGCCATTTGATGTCATTTCAGAGAACTCGAGGCTGAGTTGGAAAGATTACGGCAAGAAAAGGAGAATGAAAGGAAAATGTTGCGAGAGGAGAGTTTCGAGAAATCGGCTCGTTTAGAGGATTTGGAGATTCGTGTGAAAGCGCTTCTTTCAGAGACAGCACAGTTAAAGGTGAGGATTGGAGAAAACTAGTTTCGTTACAAAAATCGAAACATTTAGGATGACCTAAAAGTGAAGACCCAACAACTCGAGGATTTCGCTGATCGGATCGATGAGAGGTTGGGTAAATCTCAAGGAAAGTGAAATAAAGTTGTAAAATTTAGACCTCGTGACGTGAAAAACAACGAGAAGATTAAAGAGTTGAACGAGGCGCACGAGAAAGAAAAAGAAGCACTCATTCAGAAGAATCGGGTAGGGAAAGGCCAAAAGAAAAGGCCAGAATTTCAATAGGCAACACTGACAAGAAACTAAATATTAGGTTGGTGCAGATGAAACTTGCGTTGGAACCATAAACAAAATTTATTATAAAAATCCTAATACAGAACCTCAATCCAAAAGATATTCGCCATCATTATCAATGACTCTTTGCCATCTTCCACGCAGAGAATGGATGCCCTTTTCGAAGAACTCGGGCAACTGCAACTCGAAGAAGTTGGACACCCAGATTTCAACTTCTTCGCGGTTTTTGATTTTTTCCTGCTAAAGAGTGCTGCATCGACCGAAACAAGTGGTAGTCGGATGGGGCCAAGTCCGGGCTATATGGCGGATGAGGCAGAACTTCAGAGCCCAATTCCTCGATTTTCTGCTGAGTGATCTTTGCGGTGTGGGGTCGAGCGTTATCGTGGAGGAATTTTGTAGTCGCCGTGTTATTGCCTTGACGACGCAATGCCTGGTCCACGCGGCTCAATTGGGCTTTGTAGAGATCCGCCGTGACTCTTTGGCCCGAATCCAGCACCTCAAAATACACGAGACCTTTACTATTCCACCAAATACAAAGCATCACCTTTTTTCTGTGGATATTCGGTTTGGGAGTCGGTTTTGGCGGTTCACCGGCGTCCAACCACTGCCGTTTTCTTGTTGTGTTGTCGTAACATATCCACTTTTCATCTGCCGTAACAATGGAGTCGAGAAAACCGGCGGTCTTTGCGCGGCGGACGAGAATTCCAGCCATTGTAGCTCGAGCCGCTTTGTTTGCGTCGCTGAGCTGATGTGGCACCCATTTTCCACACCGATTCGTCTTACCAATTGCGTGCAAATGGCGGAGAATGGTTGTATGGTCGCAGTCAAACAGCTCTGCAAGCTCCCGAGTTGTTTGGCATGGATCCGATTCGATAGCGTTCTTCAACTCATCGTTGTCGACAATTTGAGGCGGATTCCCGCGTTTTTCGTCTTCCAAACTCTCACCGTCTCGGAAGCGCTGAAATGTCCGGCATTGACGTTCGGACAACACGTCATCGCCGAATGCTTTGCACAGAGCACGATGAGATTCCGCAGGCGTTCTGCCTTGTTTAAAATCATAAAACAAGCAAACCCTCACTCGAAATTTTTCGTCAACCATTTTCTAGAAGCTAAAAATTACTTCAAATTAAGTAAAACGCATAAGTCTTAGATATCAAAAGACGCGCAAAGAGACGCTCTTTCAGATAGACAAATATCTTCAATAAAAACTTTATTAGGTTCAAAATATAAACAAACAAGTGTGACGGAAGTTTCATCTGCACCAACCTAATAATACTGTACTGAAAATTGACAAAATTAACTTTGAAATTGCTAAAAGGCATTACAATAAGGAAGTATTTGGTTGAAAAACTGAATATCTTCTCATCAGCCTTGTCTCTTTTAAATTCCGAAGTACTGTAGTGAGTTGTAGAGTAGATAACAGTAAGACTGGCCATGTCTTGGACTTGGCAATATCTTGAGACTTTAAAAATTTGATAAACGAAAACAGTAAAGTCAAATGAAACAATGAACTAGAGACTTTCAGGAACTTGAGGCTCGACTCCGAGCTTTAGAAGAAAAAGAAGAAAAAGAAGAAGCTCAGAAAAGAGAAGTGCAACAAGAAATTCTTGAAGAAATCTCTGAGTAATCCGTCAAAAAATTAATCCTTGAATAGATATTTTTAGAGAAAAAGCTGCTAGCTCAACTGATTCGGACAGTCAAACTGATCTCCAAGAGGATGAGAGAAATGATGAGGATTTGAGAAGGGAAAACGAGTTGAGCACAAGGATCGCTGATTTAGAGAAAATTTTAGAGGTCAGATGATGGATATTAGACATGGACATGGGCATCGGGTCGGATCGGTTCAAAAGTGACCCGCTGACCCGACCCGGTCGCCAAAACTCGAAAATGGACATGTCTAATGGATATGTTGAAGATCAGTTCTTTGAAAACATGATAAAGACTTCAATTTTTTGAATTTGAAATTAGAAGTAGTTATGACCATGATAAGCTTTGAAATTCAACTTTTAGCAAAAGAAAGAGCTCATCAATGAACTTCAATCGCAAATCTCTTCACGGAGCTCATCGGGTGAAGGGGACAGTAGTGAGGAAAGGGAAAAGGTAAAAAGGCTAGGGGAAAGTTTACGAATTAAACATCTAAAACTTGAAATTTTAAGTAAATTTGCAACTTTTTTGATTCAGGAACGATCCCCGGAGATTAGCTCAAAAAACGAAGGCGGCATTCGAGAGAAGAGTCCACCATTCACACCGACGAGGTTAGCTTAAGCTTAGACCTAATTCTCGGCAACATTTATCTACCAAAAACATCCCGATTGGACTTATACAACTCATTTAACAAGCGCTTGAATGAGCGCTAGTCGAATCTGTCATTTGGCCACTTTTCTCTATTAAAAATTGCTAAGAAAAGCTTTTCAATATTTCTTATTAATGACGCAAAATAGGAAACAATTCAATTTATATGTGACGTTCGTTATTGAATCTATTCGATAATTGAATTCGATTCGATTCTATTCAATAATCGCCAAATTAAGTTCAATTTCAAGACCAATCTTTCAGTAGACAACTCCTTTGTGTCCCTGGTGGTTCATTTGGATCCGATGAGCGAACGGAAAGGAGATCACCATCAAGGACACCAGTTAGAGCTGTGAAAAGGGATGAAAAGAGACCGGCTTGGAAATTTTAAAAACGGTAGCTTGAATATCTTTCTGTGTCTTGAGAAATTAAAGATTTTAAATTCAAAATTTTTAAACCAAGTAGTCGACCAAATAGTGGACCAATTTTGACTGAAATTTCTTGAGCCAACAAGCCATTTTTTTTTGGTAAAATATTGCCTTAACATTGAATTACATTTACCTTGCATTCACCTTGCAACTTTGTTTATATATTTTACAGTTTTTAAGCGTAATTTTAATTTATAATTGTATGATTTGTGTTAACTTGTGAGAGAGCCCATCAATTTCTGCCTCAATTCTGCCTGAATTCTGCCTTTTCTGCGCTTTCCCTCTTTCGCGGATTTGTGTAGACACCGATTCGAAACGATAAAGTTATTCATACAAAGAAAATAAGCACAAAAAGGTTTGAGGAATTGCATAATCAGGATCTTAAAGTTGACATTTAAGAATGCTTTCAGCAGACAACCATTTCAATTCTATTGGGTTGATGGAAAAGTCCTTTCGGATTTTTTGGGAGAGTACCTTAAATTTGTCCAATTTTGACGTTTTATAGCTCATCCTAAAGCTGAATTCAAGACGGATCGATTCAAGACTATTGACTAGGCTATTGATCTGAGGGTCGCTGATTCGACTTCCACCGGTGACAATATTTTTCAAAAATTTTTTGCTAAGATTCTGAAAATGCGTGTCTAGGGGTTATTTTTGACGCTGATCACGAAACACAGGTTTTTAGCCTAGGTTTCTGCATGGAAAACTAACGAAACGTGAAAACAGCCTTTTTTTAGCTCTGCCGCCCTTTACTAAAATAGCTGTAAAGACTTTTAGAAAAGAGATATCTCAAAACGGTTTTTACCAATTGATCCGTCTTGAATTCAGCTTTATGATGAGCTATAAAACGTCAAAATTGGACAAATTTAAGGTACTCTCCCAAAAAAATCCGAAAGGACTTTTCCATCAACCCAATATTTCTTTTCAATCAATCATGTTTCGGCTCTCAAAGTTGATGCTTTGCAACATAAAATAACAAAATAAGCGAAAAATCTTTGTCAATAACCTCTGAATAATCTCTGTGAAACCTCAAAACAACATTTCCAAGAAATTTCGTAGTCTAAGAAACATTGTGATCAGTGTTAAGTAAGCCTCAGAAACCTACTTTCCCTCACGGTACTTGTTTGCTATCGGTCTCGTAGCCATATTTAGCCTTAGATGAAGTTTACCACCCGCTTAAGGCTGCGTTCTCAGGCAACCCGACTCCAAGGAACGACCGACCGACTCCGTCACCACTCGTACAGGACTTGCACCTTCTCTGATCTATGGCCCCAGTCAAAGGGACTTTGAGTAAGTGATGGCGCCGGATAGCCGCACCTATACGCTACATTTCCTCGCGACCAAAAGCCGAGGGAATATCACTCTAACCTTTTGAAGCTCACAATAGGTTAATTAGTCAAAAGATTCTCTTTAACATTGAGATTATTTCCCCCTTTCATCATCTCCATCTTCGCATTTTTTTTGACTCATTTCTTTGACGAAACGAAAAGTGATTCAGGGCTGCGAAAGAAATGAAAAGAATAACTACCATAACAAAGAAATGAAAAATGTCAATTTTTTTCCTTTTTTCTTAATGATTGACTGATCGAGACAAAGCAATGAATGGTTTTGGTGGAAATGTTAAGGGAAATTTTGGGACAACGTGTCAATTGTCGAGAAATTCATGAAGATGCTCGTGGGATTGTTGGTGGCCGTGGCAATCACATTGTCGGAGGCTTCCATTCAAAAAGTCTCCATTAATGTAAGTTATAGATATTAGGAAAGCTTTTTTTATAAACAGAACAGATTTTAAAGCTTACTAGTGGAAGCGATTCAACATCTTTTTCAGGGCAGTACGATTTGCGGAGATCGTTACATATCGGGAGTGACCGTGCAACTCTGGGAAGAGGACACTTGTGAGTTCTATATGTCGTAGCCGATTATGAATGAAATTTTTTGGCAAATCTTTTTAGTAGAGCAACCCTTTAATTTATGAGGACAATATTATATCTCTTGTAGCGTGAATTGGGGGGGTACCTTTGGGGTTAGGGTAGGGGTGGGGGGGGGGGGGAAGAGGGGGGGGGGGGGGCCAACCATCAAGTATTGGGTCAACGCAGAATCATAATATATGTTAAATTTTTAAAATTAGAAAGATTTAATAAAAAGAAAAAAAAATTAGAGCAAAAAAACTGTTTGTTCAAGAGGAAACTTTGAGGCCCCATAATTTTTTTTTCTTTTTATCCAATCTTTCTAATTTTAAAAATTTAACATAATTATTAATGATTCTGCGTTGAATGATACCCAATACTTGATGGTTGGACGCTCCTAGACCCGCTCATTCATAATCGGCTACGGGGATCCCGCCGATTTTGAATGAAACGTTGTAGCGCCGGTAATTTTTAACCTAAACTCACAAATTTGGTACCAATCGACGCAGAATTTAATTAGCTACAAGATGATATAATATTGTCCTCATACATTAAAGGGTTGCTCTACTAGAAAGATTTCCCAAAAAATTTTATTCATAATCGGCTACGACATATACAAAAAAGAAAAATGCTTATTATCGTTCTTTAACTAAACTCTAGGCTTGCAAGACTCAGCATGAATCAATTTTAGAACAATTTACTAGAGAGATTAAGTTGGTGCATACAATTTTTTTGCAAAACGTTTTTTAAAAGCAATGTCTCCACGAAGAATGCTTATTACCATCCTTTAACTAAACTTCTAGGCTTGCCAGACTCAGCATCTATCAATTTAAACAACAATTTCTATTTAAACTATTAAAAAGCTTGACTATTTCTCTGTAAATTCTTGTAAATTGCTTGAAATTCTTGAAAATAGTTGTTTTTGTTGATTTTCCAAGCCACAAAGAGCAGCCAAAGCTCTGATGCTAAAGTCGTTCTTTCTTTAAACAAGTTTTGACACAGTTTGAACACAGTTTGAACACTTTCTTCAAAACAAACCTATTTTGATACCAAAGATAGAGCACATTTGTTTGCATAAGTCTGTAAAATTTAAAAAAAAACGATCTGTTTAGCTAGGCGAGCTTTGAGCTTTCAAAAGCTTTCTCTCAAAAGCCATTTTGTAGCCATTTTGTAGAGAAATTATGAAGCTTTTTAATAGTTTAATATAGTTTAAGCTAAAACAAATTTTGAAAAGAAAAGAAAGCAAAAAAAGAAAGAAAAATTGCAAAGACTTCTGCACCAACTTAATATAAAAGAGCAGCTTTAGCAAAGGTATTATTCAATAGGGATAGAATCAAATTTAATAGGGATTCAATAGGCAATTTCAATAGGGTAAATTGGGTGCTACTGTATGCCAAAAGTATAGCAGTGTCTGTCCAAGCAGTGTCTACTATAGCAGTGTCTATCCGTTCGTCGATAGGTTTTTTGTCAGCCGTATTTGAGCCAAAAAAATTGAAATCTTATAATATAGTTGTTTGAAATAAAAAATCAAAAAATCAAAACTGAATGGGAGTTCGGCGGATCGAACCCAGCTCGTGTTGGCCACAAGCGCGCTTTTGACTGCACTACGGCGACAGAGCTTTCAGCCAGAAAAACAGTTCAACGGGTTTTTCGGCTAGTAAATGATTAAAATCAAAAATGGTTTAGTTGATCCAGACGATTTGCTCGAAGAGGGGATCACCGCCAAAACAAACGGAACATTCTCGGTGTCTGGCGTCACTGAAGAGGTGAGATTTGAGATGAGATCAAACTGATCAACTCTTTGTCCTCGTGTCTCTTTAAACTCTTGACTTACTGTATTTTTACAGTAATAACTATTTTAAGTAACTACCGTAAATACTGTAATAGTACCCCACCTCCATAATGACGGTGCGGAGTGTTGCGTAGTCTAGCTTTGAACGAGTTTTTCTTACCGTAAATACTGTAATAGTACCACACCCCCCTCGTACAGTCGCGTAGTCGCAAAAGTTTTTTAGTATTTTATTTTTTTCAAAGCGCCCGTACTTTCAAAAAATGCGTCTTTGGTATCAAAAAATAGCCCTGAATTTCAGCTATTTTTTTTGATACCTAAGCGCACATTATAGCATAAACCAGTGTCGAGAAAAACTCGTTCAAAGCTAGACTACGCAACACTCCGCACCGTCATTATGGGGGTGTGGTACTATTACAGTATTTACGGTAACTATAGTCCCCATAAATCTTTCAGACAACCTTAATCGAGCCCTATGCGCTCTTCATTCACAATTGTGATGTCAAGAATGCAGAGGTGAATTTTGTGATTGTATTAGGTTGAAAACTGAATTGAGTTTTTTGTCTCATCGTTGCAAGCATTGAGAGGTTTATTTTGGTGGAAGAATTTACTGTATATAAAAGAGCAGTGTCTGTCTGTCTGTACGAGCATTTTCTCGGTCTTGTTTTGACCTAAAACTTCTTTAGAAAGCTAAAAGTTCTTTAGAAAACCTTTGATATATTGTAACTACATTTTTGAGATCAATTTTTGCTCGAACTTTGGCTGTATTTGATTTTACATCTTGTAAAGCCAAAAATGGGTAGCTGATTGTGAGAAAAATTCATTAGAAATATTAGATTACTATTGGGTTGGTGAATTGAAAACTGCGGGACTTTGAACTAAAATTTATTGAACATAAAACCATGAATTCATTCGAAATAATTTCCATTATTATTGACGACTTCTGCCCATTTTACAGGCAATTTGCGGATTCCTCTTTCGGATTTTGGTTTGTGTGTGAGACAAGTTTGAGACTCAAAAATGGAGGACTGGAGATGTCCCAGTTTGAGCATTTGAGCACTTTCTTCAAAAGAAACCCATTTTCGTGTCAATGGAAAAGTTGTAGAGAATCAAAAATGAGGCTTATAGCCAAATTTCCAAAAAGATACACTTAGTAGTTTCGCTTAAAATGCAAGTTTAGTGAAAATTCGTAAATTTGGCATTTCTTGAAAACGAGTTTTTCAATCGTTCTGAAAATTTGGATATAAGCTTGATTTTTGATTCTCTACAACTTTTCCATTGACACCAAAATGGGTTTCTTTTGAAGAAAGTGTGAGAACTGGGACATATGACAATAGACCGCAGTTTTCAATCCAGCAACCCAATCGATGGAGATTAGCCTTGATTTGCGGAGAAGTCAATAATCTGCGGAGAAGTCAATAATTGATAACTAAGATTAGGTTGAGGAAAAAATCATTTTGTGATTGTAGAAAGTGTCTAAAGTGTTAAACAATTATCAACTTACAAAAGAAAAACACTCGAATAATCCAGTTAGATCCCGTAATTCAGTTTTCTAGAAATGTGTCCGTAGCACTCGATTCCCGATTGATAGAAAGTACATCAATGGTCCTGTTTATGAAATGAGTCTTGTGCAATTGAAGACACGACAAGGAGAAGACAAAGAAACGTGTCGTGAAAAAAAATGAAAGAAATTGTGATAAATTTTGAGAAAAACTGATTGATTTATAACATTTCTAATTTTTGTTTTTGTTTTTGAGATGTACTTTGTGCTTAAAGCTGTAAAAAAAACCCTTTCTCCTACACTGAATTCTTTGTGAAATTCTTTGGGAAATTCTTTTTCTCTGTGAAATCATTGCTTGACAAAAACTGAAGCTGTACACTAGAAAAAGTGCGTTTCTTTCTTTTCGCAGTTCGCAGAAAGTATACCCTTCATCTTTAAGCTGATTTCTTTACTTTTCCCAAATTCAGCTCAAAATTCTAGAGCATCAGAGCAATCGAAAAAAGAAATATTTTTCTGAAAACTTTTAGAGTTTTTGCCATATTTGCACAGCCACAAATTGGGTACATAACGAGTAAAAAAGAGAGAAAAATGGATAAGAAAAGAGAGAAAAATGGACAAGAAAAGAGAAGGAAAAAGTTAGGGATTCAATGATGTGAGTCTCGAATTTCCATCACCGTTCTCTCTTTCATCCCTACATATTTCTCTAACAAATAACTCATTCACGATCATTGATTCGATCTTTAAAGTGCCAATGTTTTTCTTTTTCTTTCTATATGTTTGTGTCAATGGAGAATTTGATTACACCGAATATGGAGAATCTGGTGAGATTTCTTGTCCTTGACTTGTAGATTTCTTGTCCTTGACTAGAGATTTCTTGTCCTTGACTGGTGAGATTTCTTGTCCTCTCAAAATGTAGATTGGCTTTTGGTCTTTTCCTGGTTTAGCGCTTTTTGTTTAGATTTGATATTCACAAAAAGTTTCTGGACTTGTTAGAAGCCAGACATTGTCATGGACTTTGACTTGCCCAGTTGAACGAGTAGCGTTTACAATTTACAGAGTAGCCGTACAACAATTTACAGAGTAGCCGTACAACAATTTGTACAACCATTTACAGAGTAGCCGCAAATTATCGTCTCGCAGTTTTTAGGCTAGATCTAAGCTGTCGCTTCACAAACCGGTTTAACTCCTTTTTAATCTGAAAATTGCGATAATTTTTTTATGGAGAATTTCCTTATACAAACAAGCTAAAAAAAGATTTCATTGGGATCGAACCTGAGACTAACCAAGCCAAACGTTGCACAACTAGGCAGATCGGACGCCAGGACGCACTACCACTCTCGGCCACGCGGTAGCATGTATTCTTTAATTTAGCTTTCAAGGAAAAACGGTCAAGCTATGTGTCAAATATTATAAGATTTTTGGATACTTAGGTAAAAAGTTAGGTTTGTAATGTCAAACTTTCAACTCGATCGGCTCAGCCGTTTTTTCTAAAATCGCATAACATACTATCTCGCTTATAATAAGTAGGATTGTAGGATGTTTTTGGGCTTTTTATTAAAAGCTAAGAAGATGCGCTCAGAACAATCCTTGGCTTCGTGCGATTCAAGCTCTTTCCTGCACAATTCAAGCTCTTTCCTGCGCAATTCAAAGCTTATTCAAGCTCTTTATAGTTCATTTTCAAAATGAAATCGATTTTCTCGCTTTTTTTTGATAAATTTAAGCTTTAAGAGTAACATTTGGTTAATTCTTTAATTGAAATCTGAGATTAACCGATAAAATTTGCCATTTTAAATGCCAGCTAAGGATTTTTTAGACGCATCTTTCAAGCCTTTAATAAAAATCTCAAAAGCATCCTATAATTTGTATAAAGAAATTTTTGCGTAGAAAAGCGGTAGCCTTTTTTTTTTGAAAGCGCCTTAATCACGAGGAACACACTCAACATTGGTGGTTCCAAAGCCATTTCATTCGCGCCGAATCAATCCCAGCTTTTCGTCTAGCTTTTATCGGCTGGCTTAGCTTGACTTAAAAGCAAATCTGATTTTGATACTTGAGACTAGGACCTTGAGGCTGACTTTTGTCTAGCTTAGCTTTCACTATCGGATTCTAAAGTTGGTTGACCGTTGAAAGCTCCATATCACGTTTACGATTAAATTTCAGCCGAATACTCAAACTACCTCAATCAAGCAACAGCGATTCGACAAGAGGTTTTCACAACGAGGAATTATGATCGATATCTTGTACCAATTTTTGGACAAATCCCTTCAAATTACACAAGTTTTTTTTGATTCAAATGAAATCAATTAAAAAAAAGGATTTCAGTGAGCCAAACAGAGCGATTAAATGTCCATTTCATGCTTTATTATTGTAAACTTTTCAATTTGGTTTGTTTAGAAAAGATTTTTTTCATAAGGTAAAAGAAATTCAGGATGCCGAGAGTCAGATTTTCAGTGCTGAAGTCGAGTTGAAGACGGTGAGGTTTTCAGCTTTTCGAGACGAACTTGAAATTGACTTTTTCATCTAAGTTTAGCTAAACAGTTAAGCAGCTAAAGAGTTAAACAGCTAAACAGTTAAACAGCTAAACAGCTAAGCAGCTAAACAGTTAAACAGCTAAACAGCTAAACAGCTAAACAGCTAAACAAGAGCTGCTTCTTGAGAAGCACACCCTTTTTTGCATTCAATTTAACATGCGAGTTTGGCTTAGTGCAATAGGTTTACTGCAGATGATTGTAGATTACTATCATGCCAGTTTCTTGGCTTGGAATTTTGTTCCACAAACAGCCTTGACAAATTTTCTGTCGATTACTGTAGTAGACTTATCGTAATGAGTCTAGACTTGGCGCGATCCCCGTCTCGTGTGGAATCCATCAAGATTCGGAGGCGTTGCTGTGATTTACATTTCCCCAGATCTACTGTGGATTCCCGATGCACAAATAGGCAATGCGTTCGTTTTAAAAACGTATGGAAAGATACTGGAAATTGTAGAAAAGTTCTCGATCCGGTGAACGGGAACACGATGCCCGTTGCCCAATTGCACAGCAATGGGATGGTCTTTATGACAACGGTGTTTTATGTGGAAACAAGCTGCCAAATCAATGTGGGCTTTTCGAAATTTAAAGACTATTTAGTTTACCAACTGTATCCTGAAGCTAGACGTTTACAGTACTATGAAGAACTTTTAGGCCAACAAATTCCCGTTCGATAAGCAGAACTGCACCCTCAGCATTCTTTCGCTTGGCCTCGATCAGTCAGTCGGTTCTTTGGTTACTTAAAGATATATAGCTTTTCAGAAAGTACATCTCGCTTGGAGTTGAGGTCGATAGAGGACCGAAGACATTAGGGGTTTGTTCTCTTAGAGTTAACTATTGCAGAGTTAACTGTTGCAGAGTTAACTACTCCTGCAGAGTTAACTACTCCTGGTTACTCCTGGCTGATTTTCCAGGCCAGTTAAAGTTGGACAAAGCCAGCCAGCAAAAACCAAATTCAAGCAGCCCATGAGCTTGGCCTGGCTTACAGTTATTCTTTGAGTGACTCAATCGTTTACTAGGATGTAGAATTTGAAGCAAAAGCAAACAAGGCTTTTGTTTTGCTAGTGATTAATTATTTTTTCCTAGTGTCGATAAGGACTGTAATGACCTTAAAAAAATGGTATTTGTGTGTTTTTCAAAAACGCAAAATAGTTTGTCGGTAGCGGGAATCGAACCCAAAACGTCTGGTTCTATAGTCCGGGACACTATCCTCTAGCCCACCACTGCCCTTTGTTCCCTGGCATGTGATGCGGTTTTAGGGGACAATTTCGGGTTTTCGATTGATCGAAGCTATTCATTTAATTGTGCTTACCAATTGTAACTCGATCAGGCAATCTTATCTAATCTAGATTTTGCCACAATTCACAATTCTCTTCAGGGAAACGGCGAATGGGTGATCGTTGACGCGATTCCGATGCGTTACGAATCCGTGAGCCTTTCCGCTAACTTGGAAGTGGTAAAGCTTAAAAACAGTTTGAAAAGCACAAAGCAAAAGCATTCCAGACCGGTTTTTTCATCTTGATCAACCGTGTGCCCAATTTCTACGTTTACGTGATCGCTCTACCGTGTTTCATCTTAACGATGCTTTCAATTGTGGGAATGTTTTGGTCACCGAATATCAAGAAAGAGCAATTAACAAAAGTTAGATAGAAATTGAAGAGTGAAATTTGAAGATTTCAGTTGAGTATCGGTTTGACAAGTCTCGTCTCGATGACAGTTTTGTTGGACATGTTGGCAAGGGCGATTCCGAAGACTCAAGTTTTTCCATTGTTAGGTAGGAATGCTTTTATGAGTCAAAGGGGGTTTTAAAGCCATCAAAGTTGTCTAGCCCAAGTCTCCTTGGGCCAATTTGGCACCAACCTTGCGCCCAATGGCAGCTTTTGTCCCAGTTGGTGATTTTCTGGGTATATTAGGCCAGGGTCAGGTTTTGTCTCATACATGCGTTAGGACAAGGACTTTAGGTACTTTAGGACCAGGCAAAGATATTTTAGTATATTTTAGACTAGCTTGAAGCCTCAAGTCAAGCCAGGACTAACCCGGGATCAGTTATCTGCTACTGTCCACGGGATTCGAATCCACGATGTCTTGCTTACAGGCGAACGCTCTACAAATAATCTATAGAGTGATCTATGGAAGCCTATGCCTAAGCCTGAGCCTGAGCCTAAGCTTATTGACGAATTAAAAGAAGAAAATGAAGAGAATACTCCGAGTTTTCGATATTATTTTGATCTTAATGAAAGCTTGAAAGCTCTTAATGAATACTAATAGTTAAATCAACAAATTTATGTACATATTGGTGAGGTTTTTGATTTCTTTAGCTAATATAATCAATATAATAACTGATCTAGTTGACGTTAAAACCGAAGACATTCAGAGGATCAATTAACCAATTAAATTAATCACAGTACTCTCTTCATTTTCTTCTTTTAATTCAACAATAAGCATTCATTCAATAATTTTGCTGCACCCTGTACATCGATATGAATCCTATCGCCGCCAGGGTATGGCCTTATGCCTTACTGTTTGACCAAGGGGTTAGTATCTGGCCTTCTTCTTTCAGGTGCCTGGGGTTGGCTTGACCCAGATCTGGTTAATTGATCCTTGAGCCAGTTTGGCACACGCTGACAATGAGCTCTGGCTTTTGCTCTGCAAAAATGTGGCCTTCTTCTTTCAGGTGTCTATGTGGTGAGTTGTGTTGGTATCACTTCTTTGGCATGCGTTGTCGTTGTGATGCATTCATTGCCGAATCCGGAAAGACTCTCGAAAAAGGAAATGGGGAAAATGGAAGATGCGGATAAATTGAAGAGTTGGTCTCGTTTAATCGTCGATGTAATAAAAAGTACAATATTGAGACGGAATTTCTTTTTCTTAGCCGTTTTTCAATCGCTCAACATTATCGGATTTATCGTTTTATTGTCGTTTTGGGATTGATTTATTTGGAGATTTTGTGATGAATAAATTTCTACGGAAAGAGAATTGTTTATTGTGGTTTTTAAGTGCGCAAAGTTTGCCAAAATGCCGAAAAAACGTAGACCTATTGTCGTCTGGATCTTTTTGAAAAGTATTTGAGCGAAAATTGTTTTTGGATTACTGTAGAAGACTACAGTACAGATTACAGTATCTCAAAGCTACGGTACCTCAAAGCTACGGTACCTCAAAGTATCCCTTGTTTTTTGAGTGAATTCAAATGAAGCTTTGTTTTAAAAGCAGATCTCAATTGATTTTTTAATTGCAAGATGACTGGAGGACGCTTTTTTTCAAAACGATTTTCGTAAACTACTTAAGCCAGTTTTAGTGTGTTTACAATGCTCATAAGCATCTAATCTTTAGATGATTCGACTCGTCTTTCTAAGCTCTATAAGATGTGCTATACAGGATATCGAGAGCTCCAATCGGCTCCTTGTTAGACAAAGCTAAACCCGTTGATTAGTACAAATTCAAGAATGTAACCATCAACAAAATGCCGATTTCAGGTTTAATTTCATCGTTCCTATTGCCCGTCAAAAAGAACTAATATTTGCTCGCAGGAAAACTGAAAAAGAAAAGGGTGAGGTAGGAGATTGTTTGAAAAAAAGACGATAAGAATCTCGAATTACATTTTTTTTTCATTTTCTTTCCTCCATCCATCTCCTCTTTAATCATTTGAGCTTTTTTGAGTAGTTTTTGTCGTTCATTGGTATCAGTAAGTTTAAATGCTCATTTTTCTTGTTATTCTGAAATTTTGTGCACTCGTTAATGGACAATTTGATTACACGGAGAATGGGGATTCAGGTGAGGAAATGGATGTAGAGTGGACCAAGGAATGCTCGAGTCACATCGCTGATTTCACAGATCAGTCAGCTACGGTTGAGTTGGCTAGAATTTGTCGAATACAGCAAAATTTAATGCAAAAATTGTTGGAAAAGGGAAGCACTATATGCCCAAGCGGTTTTGCCAGATGGCGAGCGATTGTGCCGGTGACACAAAGAACACCTCGCCAGCCTTTGGGATTTCTCCTTTGCTTTGTAGATTGCACAAAAATGGATCTTGAGCTGTAAAATTTGTACCCTAGGGTTTTCGAGGTTGGCGAATCGATTGACGGCGTTCGTTTTGTCGTACCGCATCTTTTCTAATTCTTTATATCGCAAAAAAAATACAGCAACACAGCTTTTCAAGCACTTCTAAATGTCAGACAAGGGTATTTAGTAGAGAAAATATTACAGTAATCTGTTTCGATTTATCCTTAAAATCTTATTATATCAGAAACCAAGAACAAAAGAATTTTTGCAGAATTCTGTGTTATTTTGTTAACAAACTTTTACATAAATTTGTGGAAACTTATCGTATTTCCTCTAATAGCCGTGCACCAAAAGCTTTGCCTAAATTCCTCGAAATCTCGAGAGCCGCTTATCAGAACCTATTGATGTGAGTGTCGGAAAATGTAGCTGACCATGAGATCTAGTGGGGGATTTGAGTGTTGAGCTTCTGTGACAAACTTTGGAAAGCCGTAAAATAGTCATCAACTCGGCTCGGGTGCACTACTATTAGAGAGAATACGATAGTCAAATTTGATGCGTTTATTTGGAACAAACTAGTTAGGAGAGAAGGATATTGTGACTGAACCCTTGAATACAGCTTATTTAATGTGACGGAAAAAAATGGGTGCTGTATTTTCCCTAATAGTAGTGCGCCAAAAGCTTTACCTAAATTGCTCGAAATCTCGGGAACCGCTTATCAGAACCTATCGATGTGGGGTCGGAAAATGTAGCTGACGATGAGATCTTGACAATGATTAGAGTGTTGAGCTTCTGTGAAAACTTTGGAAGCCATAAAATAGTCATCAACTCAACTCGCTGCGGTGCACTACTATTAGAGAAAATACGGTAGCATCTTTTAAAAAAAGCTTCCAAATTCTAGATTCAGATTTAAAGAAGTGATTCCATTTTTAAGCACAAACTACTATTTAGTAACACTTTTTTCAAGTATTAAAACCAAAAATTTCCAGCCGAATACTCTAAATTCATGAATCGCGCGACGAAAATCCGAAACGAATTGTTTACAACGAGAAAATACGACAAATATTTGGCGCCCGTTTTCTTGCCACTCAGAGATTCGACTGATGAACGGGGAAATCTACTTGAAGGATCGTTTTCAGGCAGTAAAGTGCCAAAGCTCAACATCAATTTCATGTTGTATTACTTGAAACTCTTCAATTTGGTAAGAGAATAGATTAAAGTCGAAACTTTTGTCAAGAGATCAGATTAACCTCGAAATTTAGGATGCTGAGAGTCAAATCTTCAGCGCCACGGTTGAATTCAAAATGGTAAGCGATCTGTGTCAATGATTTCTTGTACTTTTTGTTTACAAATGTAAATGCACCCTTTCTGGTACAGTAAAAGATGTTTACTTACTAAAATTACTTATTTTTTACTAAAGAGTGAGCTAGAAGAGGTGTGTTTACAAGTTGCAAGAAGGAACAAAGTCTAGAAGCTGGCTCACAGTCCAGAAACTGGCTCACAGTCTAGAAGCTGGCTCACAGTCCAGAAGCTGGCTCACAGTCCAGAAGCTGGCTCACAGTCCAGAACAAAGTCCAGAAACAGTTCACAAAACTATCGTAACTCTAATAGTTAGAATTCAATTTGAATTTAAATTCAATTGAATTCAGAATTGGCGAGATCCAAGACTAGCATGGAAGCAGGAAAAATTTGGTGGACTTGACTCGATCTATATTGGAACTGACATTTTATGGATACCGGATGCACGTGTGGGAAATGCGTAAGTGTTATGAAGAGCTTTTTGCTTTAAAATTACTACTTAAAAACTTTCCAAAGTGATTTGAAAGAGAAATAAAAGAGAGAATTGAGCTATCTTTCAAATGATTGAGATTTCTCTTACACTCAGAGATTCGACAACTTTCAACTTTCTACCGCAACCCTCAGCTTTTATCTCTCTTTTCATTTGATTCTTTTAGTGTTCATGACGAGATCTTTACGCTAAAGTTTGAGTTTTCAATCGCTTAAACGATTCTAACGTTTGAGTACTAAGTTTTGCACTTTTCATTGCATTATCTTGAGCCTTAAACTATCATAATTGTGTGTCACTCTGTAGAATAATCTGCGAGAACGAAAGCCGGTATTTTAAAATATTGAGCATATAAAGAAAACCGCTAAACAGATTATTCTGAAATTTTAGTTGTAGACTTAACTTTTTGTGCGCTATCTTTTTTTATTTTGTCATTAAAATAGGTTACATTGGAAGAAAGGATTCAAATCGTATCGTATTTTCTCTAATAGTCGTGCACCAAAAGCTTTGCCTAAATTCCTCGAAATCTCGAGAATCGCTTATCAGAACCTATTGATGTGAGGTCGGAAAATGTAGCTGACGATGAGATCTAGTGGGGGATTTGAGTGTTGAGCTTCTGGGAAAACTTTGGAAGCCGTAAATTGTCATCAACTCGGCTCGGCACTACTATTAGATAGTCAAGTTTGATGCGTTTATTTGGAACAAACTAGTTAGGAGAGAAGGATATTGTGACTGAACCCTTGAATACAGCTTATTTAATGTGACGGAAAAAAATGGGTGCTGTATTTCCCCTAATAGTAGTGGACCAAAAGCTTTGCCTAAATTCCTCGAAATCTCGAGAATCGCTTATCAGAACCTATTGATGTGGGGTCGGAAAATGTAGCTGACGATGAGAGCTTGTGGGAGATTTGAATGTTGAGCTTCTGCAAAAGCTTGGGGACAGTAAAATAGTCATCAACTCGGCTCGCTACGGTGCACTACTATTAGAGAAAATACGGTATCATTGTTTTGTTCTGTCTTTTTTTGAACATTTAGCTTTTTGCTAATGAAAAACCTTTAAAAAAAAGCTTTTTAAAAACTTTCAAAAGTGATTTGAAAGAGAAATGATTGAG